TAAAGTGATAACTAATAAACATAATTATATAGTAATAATAAATCTTAAATAACTTTAAAAGTAAAAAAATATATAAAATAAATATATTAAAATAAATTTATATATACAATATGAAAATATAAATAATAAATATACAAATATATATATTCTTATATTTATATAATTATATATATATTTTTATATTATATTTTATTATATATATTTAAAGACTATTCATAAATTAGAAAATAAACTAGAAAACATTAATATAGAATTTTTTTGAAAAATTAAAAATAATTTTTTTTTTTTGATATAATTATTTTATGTATAAAATAAAGATATTTATTTATTATTTTTTATTTTAAATAAAAATTTTATTTTAAGAAAAAATTTCTATAAATTTTAAGATTTATTTAAATTAAACATATTTATTTTTAATTTTATATTCATAAATTTTTACATATGATATTTTTTTTTTACATTTATTATAATCATATTTTTATTTATATTTTTTTTATAATTTATATATTTTAAGTTAATCAATTTTCATAAACATAGTTCTTTTTTTTATAATTAAACATATATTTTTTTTATATTATATATAATTATCATTATTAGTAATTTATTGTAAAGTTAATAATAATTTTTTATTTTAATAAATTTATCACATTATCTTTTTATTTATTAAAAAATTAATTTTATATTTAATTATTCATATATAAAATAATTTTGTTATTTTATTAAATTTATATATATTTGTTTAAATAAGAATTTATTTATGATATTTATAAGTAAAATTTATAGCCATATAATTTGTTTGTTTTATAAAATATAATAATAATTACGAATTGCGTATAATTTATATTTTAAAATGAATATTTTTTTATTATTAATAAACCAAAAAATTAAACATTATAATACTTTTTTATTTTCTTATATTAAATATTTAAATATATTTCTTATTTATTTAAATTTATTCCTTAAATTAAATATATATAACTAATATAAATTTATTATATATAATATCTATTAATTTTTAATACTTATAAATTTTTTATATAATTATTTAATATTTTATACTATACAATTTTTTTAATAAATATATATAACATGATATCATCATATTTTGTATTTTACATATTTCATTTTTTAAATTCAAATTTACAACTATTATATTAAAATAATCTTTTATTCTTAATAAGCCTCTTATCCATTCTTATATATTATTTATTTTATTTATTTAATATTATATGTTTAAATTATTATTTAAAAGCATTTCTATATAATTAATACATAATTATTGCTTTTTTTTTTTTCTTGTTTCCGGAATATTCTATCAAAAGTATGTATCTTAATATTATTATTAAGATGAAATATATTATTATGATATAAATAAATCAAGAATCATGCATTTGAATTTCAAAAGTATGGTTTTAATAATCTACTTGATTTGGGGATTATAAGAAAAAATAATATCAAAGTATAGTCTAATTATTAGAGAATAATTTAATTTTTTTTTAAAAAAAAACTTAAACAAAATAATAAATAGGTAAGTGTTTTTTTTAAAAAGTCTATTATTAATGAAAAATTATAAAAATGGATGTATTTATTAATTTTTTTTTTCCACTTTTGAATATTTATAAAAGTTCGTATAATATTATGGCTTTAATTAATTTATTATAAATATAAGAAAGGGGGAATATATATATATATATATATATATATATATATATATATATATATATATATATATATATATTTATATATATTAAAAAGTTTAATAAAAACTTAAACTTTTTTGTTGGAATAAAATAAGAAAAAACATGCATTTATATATAAAAACATTAAATAGTATTTTTATTAAATAAATGAATACTTTCTAATATGTAATTTTTCAAGAATAAAATACATAAAAAAAATCGATAATATAATTAGAAACAAAATAAAAAAAACTATTCTAATTAAATATTTATAAGAAGATATTATTTTATTTTAAAAATAATCGATAATATTATTTACTTAGACCTATTTGTAAATTAATAAATTCGATTTTATCAAGGAGTATTGGATATTGTAAGTAATTGATGTACTTTAATGTTTATTTATTATATATAATCGAAATTAAGAATTTAATATATAAATAAAACATATATCTAATATTCCCTATTTAAATGAGAATATTTAAAAAAAAAATAAGGCGCAATTTGTTATATTATTACGAAAGAATTTTTTAAAAAAAATATTTATAAGATATTTTTATATCTAAATGTAATTTAATAGATAATTTGATGATTGCAGTAAATAGATATATTCTAAATATTATAAAAATCAGTTTGAATAAAGTTAAAAAATTAAGAAGATTTATATTCATAATAATTTAAAACATTTACCTAAAGCAAAAGAAAGGATGTCAGATAATATTTTATATAGTTTAAATTATAATATATAGTGAATCAACTATAAAAAAAATAGCTAACATTAAACAAAAAATAGAAATAAATTTGTGTGTAAATTATAGAAAAATCAAGAATAAATATTAAGAAAATAAATGTAGAAAAAAAATAATTCATATAATTTAAAAAAAAAAAAAAAAATTTTTAAAAAATTAAATAATAAAATAATTATATATATATATATATATATATATATATATATATATATATATATATATATATTTTTTTATAATATATATATTTATTTAATTTTTTTTATTTATATTTTTTGTTTATTTTTAATATAAATCTTTATTATTATTCCATTTTTACTTATTGTTACATATTTATATTCTTATATTTTTTTTTTTTTACATTATTTAAAAATATTTTTTTTTATAATATAATTAAAAAATAATATATACTATAAATTTTTATATTTATTCAATATACATTTAATTTTTTTTTTTTTTTATTATGTATATTAATAAATATACATTTTAATTTTCGAATTTTTTTTTTAAAAAAAATTAATAATTTTTTTTTTAAAAAAAAAACAAATATATAAATTAACTAATTCACACGAATAAAATATTTATATTTTTTTTCTTATAAACCAAATAAAATAAACAATATAATTATGATGTTATATGAATTAGAATAATAAAAACTATAATAATAATTAGCCCAATAAATTTATTAATAAAAAAGCAATAATTAATATGATTAATGTATAAAATATGATAAAAAAAAATAAAAAAATATTTAAATCTAATTAAAATAAGTCAAAAAGGATTAATAAATCAACTTATAAACAAGCAATAGTAGAAAAAAAACAAACCGAAAGAATATCGAATAAATGAACATGAAAAATAATTTTACATATATTAATGAAATGAATATAAAAGACAATAATTCGAATTAATTTTTTTAAAAACATGAAAAAAAACAAGAAACACTACTAATAAAAAAATATAGTAAATTATCAAAAAATATAAATAATTTAAAAAAAAAGCAAAAAAAAAATATATAAAAATAGCAATAAATGGACTATAATAATAAATGAATAACAATACTTTTATAAATTTATCCCGTCCAAAAATCTAAACTGAAGAATAAAATCATGAAAGACCTAATTTTTTTAAAAGGCATAATATTTATGGTTCAAATAGTCCATATAGATGTAAAAAATAAAATAATAATAATAATATATATATGGATATATATATATAGTCAATAGTGGTGGTTTAGGTTAAGAAACAGAAATATATATACATAATTCAAATAACGTTTATCTTATTAATAATAATTTAAAATTCGGAAAACCAAATTTCGTTTCAAATAATGCATCTCCTGATTAATATTATTTTAATTAAAATAGACCTAGAAGTTCTTCAAATAATAATAATATTATATTAAATAATTAAAATTTAAAATATGATTTATTGAATATATAGAGACGTATATAGGGTAATTCTAGAGTAAAATATGCCAAAATAATAAAAACAGGAAATAATTAAGAAAAAGACTGCAAAATGTTAAAAGAAATCGACTAAATTATAAAAAAAATTTAAACAAAAAACATTAAATAAGACACTGAGAATAATCCCAATTTAAAAAATATAAACGAAAATTAAAAAAACGAGAATGTACTTATAAAAAGTAAAAAATTTAAAAATAATGAATATCCAGCTTTTGCCTTTAAAAATTATTAATAATAATAACCTGAATAGGTTTAAAAATAAATTTAATATAGAAATAATTCTAATAATATAAAAAATAATTAATATATAAATGCACCATTATAATAATATATAATATAATAATAATAAATAAACAATATATAAAACATTCCTCATTTCAATTCAGCAAATTAATTGACTTTAAATAACTTTAATTCAAATAATTTAGACGATTACCAAATTCAAGCCCAAATAGGAAGTGGATCATATGCAATAGTAAAACTAGCAATAGACACAAATACCAATAAAAAAGTAGCAATTAAAATATATGAAAAATAAAAACTTTTAGATCCAAATAAAATGAAGAATTTTAAAAGGGAAGTAGATATTTTAAACTCTTTAAATAATCCTTATATTATTAAACTATATAAAGTTTTAGACGGAAAAACTACAGTAAATAATATAAATTAAATATATATATATATATATATAAAAATATTTATATATATATATATATATATATATATATTTATTTAAATATTTATTTAAATATTTATTTTATTAACATCATTTTTTAATATAAAATAGCTAAATTTAGTAATGGAATATATAGGAAGTAATTCTCTATATGCATTCTTGAAATCAAAAAGTAGTCGAAAAATAAATGAAGAAGAGGCTAAACATATATTTTATTAAATAATGGAAGGGATTAAATACTTACATCATATGAATACTGTACATAGAGATATAAAACTCGAAAATCTTCTTATTGATGATTTTAAAAATATAAAAATTATAGACTTTGGGTTTGCAATTAAAGTTTTTACTGGTAAAAAATTAGGTTCTTTTTGTGGAACACCTTCCTATATGGCTCCTGAAATTGCAGGAAAAAAAGAATATTTTGGATAGCCTGTTGATATTTGGAGTTGTGGTGTTCTATTATATGTTTTAATTTGTGGGTAATTCCCTTTTAAAGGATCTTGTGAGTAGGAATTATATAAAAAAATAATTGATGGAAGATTCGAATTTCCTTAATATGTTTCAAATTAGGCTAGAAATTTGATTTCGTAAATGTTAAATGTATTTCCGGAAGAAAGACCAGATGCTAATTAAGTATTTTTATTTTTTTTAATGTTATTTATTAAATAAAATTATAGGTTTTAAGAAATTCATGGTTTATAAATATAAATTAATAAATTAATTCAAACAATTAATAAATATGAATAAAATATATATGTTTATAAAAAATGTATTTAATACAAAACTAATTTTATTTTTTTTAACAAAAAACATTTTTTTTAATATACCGTTAATATAATTTTTTATATTACATAATTTGTGAAAATATTTAAAAAATATAGGAATAAAAATACATAAATATTAAATAAAATAAAATAAATATATAAAATCCAAAAGCTGATATTATTAAAATATTAAAAAATACATATATATTTAAATAAAAATATATATATATATATTATATATATATATATATATATTTATATATTTTTTTGTTTAAAAATAATACTCATTGCAAGTTTAAATATTATATTTATTTATTTTTATAAAAAAACTTAACAAATATAATTACTAAAAATACATTTTTTTTTTTTTTCTTTTTTTTGTTTGCTATAAATAATACTTATAAAATAATAATCTCTACAAAAGAAATAAAAAAAAGTAAGAATCAACCAAAAATTCTATAAGACTTAGACATAGTAGTTTTAATGTGTAAAGTTTTAATATTTTACCATCCTTTCTTTAATAAAGAGACCAAGAAATTGATTGACATATTAATATTTTATCTAATTTATTCTTCAGTAAGTTTATCTGTACCTACAGCAGTGGCTAAACAGATCACTTTTTTTAATTAGAATTTTACAGTTTATTATAATTCTTTTACTTTAGAAACGACTGATTCACCTTCAGTGATTGAGATAGGGAATTTACCGATTTTGTTCAATGTGTTTCCTAATAATCTGGGTACTTATTTCATAAGAGATTCAGAACAAATTAAAGTATCAAAAGGTTTAGACCATTTCTTGATTAATTTTTTGTCTTTATTAAATTTCTTTAAACCTTCAACATCAATATATGCAATATTAGCAGCTTTAGCTTCATCACAATGTTTCATAGTACCAATAATGGCTACTCTTTTGTTAGGATAAGGCATATTAGGGAGCTTAATAGAACCGGAAAAACGTTTATCTTTTTCAGGGTCGTAATCTCTTAAACCTATTTGTAATTCAATGGTTTCGGAAAATTCTCTTTTCTTTCTTTCGGTTAACATTTAAGCGATTGTAGATTTTAATGTTTCAGATGAGATTTTGCTAATTTTTTTTTTTTTTAAAAAAAAATATTTTTCATTTATTCATTTTTTTTATTTACCTCATTTTTTTATTTTTCTCTTTCTTTCTTTTTTTATTTTATTTCTTATTTTAGTTTTTTTTTGTTTTTTTATATATTTATATATATATATGAGATTTATTTTATTTTTTCCTTTTTTTTTATTTTTTTTTATACTTTTCCTTTTTTTATAGTTTTGTTTTTTTGATTTTTTTTTTAAAATAAAAAAAAGCTTTTGAAAATAAAATACAAATCTCATTTTTTTTAGTAAAATAAGTCATTTTTTATAAAAAAAAAAAAATCCAAAAAAAGTCATTTTTTTATATTAATAATAAAAAAAAAAAGTTTTAATTTAATTCATTTTTTAAAAAAATAAAGAAAAATTTAAATATAATAATAATTTAATATTTTATATTAAATCAATAAAAATTAAATCCTATCTAAAAACATCTCTTTATAAAAATAAAATAATAATAATAATATGAGTATAAATCAAACTTATTAAAAACTTACAGAAGAATAACCTCTAACTACCATAAAAATCGATTAATGTACCAAAGAATCCCAAAAAAACAATTAAAGTACTCATCAACACCATAATCACTCACATAAATGTAACCATAATCACGATAATACAATTCATAATCATGCTAATACTTATAGGTGTTAAAAAAAAGACAGATAAAACATATATATTAGATTTTTTACAGTATTTATGCCCTTTAATTGTTTTATACTACAAATTTTTGTAAATAAAAAAAAAATACTTAAAAAATAAAAAAATAAAGTGGATGAATAAAACCTTAGAAAATAACATTTTTGAATATTATTTTTCTTAAATATTTATGACTATAATTATTTTATTGTGCTATATATCATATTATATGTGTATAATAATAAAAAACAATCCCGTTTCTCGTGTAAAAAATAAAAATATAAAAAAAAAAAAAAAAAAAAATAGCTTGCACCACCATCAGATCCTAAAATAGTTGATAATTTAAGATAAAATAATGAAACATGCAAAGAATGTAATATATGGAAACCTTAAAGAGCAAAACATTGCCGATAATGTAAATCTTGTATATTAAAAATGGATCATCATTGTCCTTGGATAACTAATTGTGTAGGATATAGAAATAGTAGAGCATTTTATCTTTTTACTTTATATATGGCTGTAAATATATATAAATATATATATATATATATATATATAAGTATATATATATATATATATCAATTTTTAAATTTTAATTATAAATATAAATTCTTAATTATATAATTATATTAATTTATTTTAATTATCTTCTATTTTTTTAAAAATATTATTAATCAAAACATTAATAAAATTTAATAAATATATATAGCTATTAAGAATATTATCTTATTATTTATAATATAATACATAAAAAAAAAAATATATCAATTTAATTATATATAGGCTGGATCAACATAATATTGTTATAGATCATTTATTTTTTATACTTATTTAATAAATAGTGATGATTTTTGGATTCATAATTTTATGTTTTATGTATATTGGACATTTACTTCAATAATAGTTTATCCTGTATGTATTATGCTTTTGGGTCTTACATTTTTTCATAGTATGCTATTGATTAATAATATGACTACTATAGATACATTAGGTGGAATAAATTTATCTTTGCCATGTTTATCACCTTAAAATACTAATTAAGAAAAAAGATAAGTATTTTTTTTTTTAAAAAAAATTATATATAAAGCTTTAAACCCATAGATAAATATGTATAATTAAGGATTATTTGCAAATATTAAAAATTATTTTAACAATGATATCTTTTTTTTTTGGTTTCCATTTGAAAATATAGGAAATAACGATGGTAAAATAAATATTTAAATATTTATATATAAATATATATATATATATATATATATATATATATATATATATAATTATTAATTTTTTTAATATTATGTTTTAATATATTTTTAAAATTTTATATAGGTACTGATTATCCTTTACCTTCTCCTATTTCTTTACAAGAAATTTTAATTTTTCATTAATAATAATAGATAGACTAAGATGAAATTATATTGAATTAATCAAATATTGATTTTGATAATATTATTGAAAATGAAAAAACTCTTTTAAAAAATTTTAATTTATAGGCTGATAATAAAATTATAGAATTTTGGAAATTATATTAATCCTAAGATAATTAGATCTCCCAACAAAGTGAATTATAATAAATGTCACTTTTTTAATAAAATTAAAAATAAGATATAATATAAGAAAATATATAAATTGAATAATAAAAAATAATATAAATAACCTAATAATAATAATCATAAGAAAATACAGAAACAAAAATTTAATAATAAGAATAATATTAAGAAAATAAACAAGAATCAAATACAAAATTATAATAAATATAATAATTATTATAACTATAGGAATAAAAAACACAAACTTAAAACTAAGATGAATAAATTTCTTAATAATAAATAATTAATGAATAAAATGAATAATATTCTAACTAAAATTAAATAGAATAAAAATAAAATATTAATACAGATGATATAAATAATGATAATCTTTAAATATTATGAAAAAATTTTTTTTAATATAATAATAATAAAAGAATTAATATAATTTTATTTTTTTTATTGATTTATTTAATAATAATAATAAAAAAAAAAATATTGTTAATTGTTTATTTACATTTTTTTTTTTTTTTTTTTTTTTTAATAATTTTTTTTATATTTAAGAAAAACAATTTTTTTTTTATTTTATTTTTCAATAATTTTAATGGATAATCTATATTTAATAGGCAGTATATACACAAAATATTTAATTTTTTAAATAAAAACAAATATTTTTTTTGGATTTTAAAGATTATTAGCATTTAAAAATAAATGAAAATTAAAAACTAAACAATAATTATCAATAAATTTTAAAGGAAACATCAATAAAATAATTTTGCGTTTTCGAAGATTTTATTCTAGTATTAGAAAGTATTTATAAAATCTTTAAATAAATAATTAAATAAAATATAGGTTAAGGAATTGTTTATTATACAAATAATACTTTAATTTAAAATAATAAAAAACAATATATAAATGGTTTATAAAATATAAATGATATAATAATAAACACTGAATTAAAAAAATGTTATGGAATAAACTGTATATTTTTTTTAATATATAAAAATATAGTTTTTTTTCTTTTTTTTTTTATAAAATAAAAAAAGAATAATATGAAGTATTTGAATGGCAAATTAATAATTAAGAAATAAAAAAATTGATTATATTTCCAAAAATATAGCTTTTAGGAATAAATTATTGGCTAAATAATTTAGGTTAAATAATAGACAAAAAAAATATGAGTACTATTAAGAATTTCGAAAATTTTTAAATAATACATTTTTAAGAAGATATAAATAATCTTTTGTTATACTTTTTAACTGGTATTAAATAAATATATATATAAATATAAATACTAATTATATTATATAGAATAAGGAAAAATCTATTTATATAAGAATTAAAATACTATATAATAAATATAAACCCAAAATAATATAACAAAAATAAAATTAAATTAAGGAGTTTTAGGAGCACTTGATGAATAATAAAATCTCTATATATTAGAGGATAATTAATTAATAGTTTAAAACACTATATAATAAAAAGTTAAAAACTTTTCGATTGGAAAATATTATATTATATATATTGAAATAAATAATACTATTTGGATTAAATCTAAGTATTGTTTTTGTTTTAAATTTAATTAAAAAATAATATTTTTTATATAGTATAGATTTGGGTTATATAGGAATTCAAAATTAAGGAAATGAAAAAAAGTATTTTAAATTAAAAAATTTAGTTGGGAATTTCAATTTATTATATTGTATTGAAAAATGTATTTTTATAAGTGGATCTAATATTGATATTTTAGGTAATGTATTTTATTTTTTAATTTTTTACAATAAAATAAAATTTACTTTCTTTTATTTTTTTCTTAACAAAAAAAAATAAAAAAAAAGAAGATAATTGTGAATTTTAAAAAAATAATGTAAAAGATGAATATGTAAATTATTTATTTATTTTATAATTTTTTACTAAAATAAAAAAAGAATTATATTAATGAAATTAACTAACTTATTTAAGAAATAAAAATAAAAACCAAAAATTAGAAGATAATAATATAAAGTATTAATTATTATAAACTGAACTAGAAAAGTGCAAAACAAAAATTAAAAACTAATCTTTTATAATAATATAATAAGAAAAAGATAATTCAGAATATAAAAAAGAAACAAAAAGAATTTAATTATTAAATTAAGAGCTATTAAAGTTCAAAGTAACTATGTATATTTATAATATATATATATATATATATATATATATATATATATATATATATTAATTTTTATAAAGAATTAATTTGATTGTGAAAATTTAAGTGATTTGATATAAGAAAATGAATATATGAAACATAAAATACGTGAATTAGAATAAAAAATTAATTTAAATTTAACAGAAATTAATGATGATTAACTTTTAAATCATTTAAAGGAAAAAATAAAGACTTAGAATAAAAAGTATATATTAATTTTAAATAAATAGTTTTTTGATTTTTTTAGTTATAAATAGAAAGTTTAAATTCTGAATAATTAAAAGTTTAAATATAAAAATTATAAAATGATGTGCTTACAGAATTAAATAGTATAGAATAATATTATTCGAATTTAAATAATTAATTGAAAGAAAAAGATAAAGAGATTTAAAGACTTCAAGAATTATTAGAAAAATATAAAGGTAATAGTATTTTCTAAAAATAAGATGCAAAATAAATTTAATCTCCGACTTATAAAGCAAAACAAAATTTTTAAAAAGAAATTAATAATGCAAATTTTAATGATAGTTTATCTAATTATAAATTATAATCTTTTTAAAATGAATTAAATGCTAAAATATAAGAAAATGAATATAAATAGAAAACTGAGTTATTATTTATGTTTAATAATATATTAAGTGAATATAAAGTATTTTTTTTAATAGAATAAAAAAATATTATTATTATTATTATTTTTTTTGTATAAAAAAAAAAAAAAAGGAAATAATTTTATAAAATACATAATAAATAGAATATTTAAATTAAAAAAATGAGAAATTAAAATAAAAAGTAGAAAAAAAAAATAATAAAATAATAAAACTAAAATAATAGATGTTTGAATATTAAATTTAAGTAACAAAAAAATAAAATAAAAAATAAAATAAAAAAAATTAAGATAAAATCATTAGAATAAAAAAAAGATAGTTTTAATGAATAAAATTCTGAATTATAATAATAATAATAATAATAATAATAATAATAATAATAATAATAATAATAATAATAATTATAATAATTATAACAATTATAATAATAATAAACATAGTAATTCAAATAGAATTAATATTAATAATAAATATAAAAATCAGTATAATAAAGATAAAATAATAATAGCTAATGTAGAATTTTTAAACAAAATATATAATTTTTAGATAAAAATATTAATAATTTAAATCTTACTCCTGAATAAAAGAAAAACAGATTAGAAGTTAAATAAATAGCTTAAAGTACTTTAAATAATAATAATTCTTAAAATTATGAATAAATTTTACAATTTATGTATTAATCAGTAAATAATCCAAAATAAAATATATAAAATAAATTAGATAATTAAAACATTTAAAGTATAGATTTGGTAAAAAAATATAAATATAAACCTTATAATATATATTTTTATTATATTAAATAAAAGACAAATTTTAATAATAATTAAAATAATTTTGATGAAATATAAATAGAATCGTAATTATTTAATATATCATATAAAATATAAAAAATATATATATATATATATATATATATATATTTATTTATCATTTTAAATCATATATTTTTTTATTATTATACATTTTTTTATATTTATTAACAGAATTCGAAATTGTTTAATTTAAGAATAATCTAAAAATACTTTGAATATAAAACTATCTGAACCTGATAATAGACATAACAACATATCAAAATTCTAATAGTATTTATTTGTTTTTTTTCAAAAATTTTTATTAAATAATAAAGTTATTAAGATTTCGAAAAAAACTTATAAAAACTTAATATAGATATTTAGAATTTTGAAGAATAAAAAAATATTTATTTAAAATAAAGCAATTAATTTTGATTAAAAAATTATTAAAAAGTGTGTACTATATATTATAATAACATCAAAAAAAAAATATTCAATATAAATTAAAAAAATTTAGTTTAATATATATATATTTTTTTATACATAAAAATAATTTTTTTATTTAAAAACTAAATATTCAATCTTTTTATTTATATCCATGATTAATTATTCCTTATAGCATTTTTTTACAATTAATCCTATTAGTAGTAGCTATAATAATCTCTTTATCTAAAAAAATAAATTAAAATATATTTATCATAAAAACATACTTAATTATTAAGATACATATCTTAAAGCTGAGATTTCTCCATAAGTAATTCCCCCCACAACATAAACTAAAATCGCGCTTTTATTTTATAATTTTACATATTATTAAGGTTCTGGATAATTTTAAAAGCCTTAAACTATTTTAAGTTATTTTTAAAATGGTTTCCAGCTTTAATGTTTAATACAGCATTCTACTAATCTGACCCTTAAATAAAAATAATTATTAAAAAAAAAAAAAATCACAAAAATTATTAAAAAAAACAAAAAAACACAAAAATTAATTAAAAAAAAAAAAAAACATAAAAATTATTAAAAAAAAAAAAAAAAAAATACAATAAAGGACAATATCCAGAATACACATAAGAAGCATCATTAGGATTTTCAGAATCTACTTCTTCATTAATTAATTAAAATGAATCTTTTAATTCAGTCCAAATATTTTTAGAATTATCTTATCTTTTAATTAATCCAATTTATTATAATTTTTATAAAGTAAGAAAACATTGAATACCGTATTCCTTTTTTTTTTTTAAAAAAAAAAAAAAATATATTTTTTTTAAAAAAATAATAATAATAATAATACATGTATTAATTCTTTTCTAATATCATCATATTATTTAGATTTAATTCCTTTATCTATAAGAGATTATAGACATAAGAATTTCATAGGTTTTAGAATAGGAACACCTAGTCCACATATATTTTCTATATAATCAAATGTTTAATTTTGATTCGCGCCTATTAAAATACTTTACTCTAATGAAAGTTCTTTATAAAACTCAATAGATCTCATTTTCACAATAATACTAACAGAAATATTAACATCTTTATAATTTAAATATATATATATATAAATGTATATATATATATATATATATATATATAAATGTATATATATTTATAAATGTATATATATATATATATATATATGTATATATTCATATATATACATATATTTTTTATTTTTTTTTCATATATATTCTGTTTTTTACTATCTTCTAGATTTTTTTAATTTTTCTACATTAAATTTACTAGTTTTAAACACTTTTCAAGTTCCTCGGCTGTGGCTTTTTTCTTTAATTCGTTTATTTATTATTTTAATTATTGAATTTTTAAAGTTTGATTGTTTAAATATTTTCGTGCTTATGTTATTTATTAGTTTCTTATATTTTCATATATTTAGTTTTCTTCGCTTGAAAGTCTTAAACTAGAGGTTTTTCCTTATTCACCTCCTAAAATAGAAGAGTCTATTCTTAAAATATTTCCATTAATTTCATAATTATCGTCTATTAATCCTTCATATGTTAATTAAGTACATAATGGAGTAATAAAATCGATTCCTCTTTCAATAATAATCATAGTTTCTATTTAACTTTATGAAGAATCTACATTTTTATTATATTCTTCATCTTAATTTAAAATATCTAATATAACCTTTATTTTTTTTTTATTTAATTTTTAAAAAAATAAATATTATATTTGCTTTGATTCCATCCCCTTTAGAAAAAATATTAGGAATTTTTCCAAAAATAATTTAAAGTTTTTAAATAGATTCGGAAACTTACTAATAGGTAAAATAATCATTTTCTAAATAAATATTATTAAAACTATCTTATTATTCCAAACTTAAAAAATCATTATCTAAAGGAATAAAATCAAAATTAAAATTTAAAATTTCCATTTATGAATAATATTAGGATTTATAACTATTTAATGTTTATAAATACAATTAATTTATTTTTGGCCAGAATATCACATAAAAATATTTTTTATTTTATTATATTTTGCTATCTTTCTATAAAAGTTTATGAATTAGTCCAATATTTTTTTATTTTTAACTAACAAAAATCATTATTTGACTATGATCTAATTCTTCATACTTTAAATTAAATTTTAATATAAAATAATATATATAAAAAATATATATTTATATATATATAAATAGATATATATATATATATATATATATTTAATTATGTATAAATATATGTATATTTATATATATAATAATTTAATTTATAGTTTTATATATATACATATTATTTTTACATTTATAGTATCTATTAAACTAAAAGATTCTACACCTTACTCTTTCATAGCAGGTTAGTCATATGTTAAAATAAGTGCGTTTTTTACTTCTAAATCATATATTAAATGTTTTTTATCTTTAACCTTTTTTTTAATTATTTTTTTTTTTTTTTTTAATTTTTTCTTTTTTTTACTTATTCAAAAAGTTAATTTAATTTTATTCTTGTATATTCTTTAAATATTGTTGTATCCAATATTTTCTCATCACTTTTTTTTGTCTGATAATTTTCTAAAAGAGAATCAAATGTATAATCCATTTATATTTATTTTATTTTTAAAATATATAAATAATATTAAAAAATATTTTAAAAAGGATATATTTTGTTAATTTTTTATTTAAATATATATTTATTAATCAAAAAATATTAAAATAAACTTTATTATTATAATAAAATTATGAGTTCTTTTTATATATATATGTGTATCAATAGTTTATATATATTTGATTAATAAAAAATTTTATATAAAATAATTATATTTGTATTTTTATATTAGTTTTGACGATTTTATATTTAAATATATTCAATATATAAATCTTAATAAAATAATATATATTTAATATGTTTTTTTAAATATAAATATTTAATATATTTATTTTATCATTTACCTAAATATTTTTTCTTTTAATTATTAATGACATTATAGTTTTTTTTTTTATATTTTAATATTAAAATTTGTTGATTTTTAATATTTTTAAATCTTTATTATAATTTAAAGAAGATACAATAATTTATAGAAATTTTTTATAATAAATATATTAACAAATAATTATCTAATTTTTATATATTACATGCAAATTTATTATATTTTATCAATAAGATTAATATTTTATTGATTTTCCTATAATTTTATATAATTTTAATAAAATAATAATATTAATTTCTTAAAATTAATTAATAATTCATTTTTTTATAAATTAATATTTTTTTTTATATTGCATAAAAATAATAAATATTTATTCATTCTTTAAAATATATCTTAGTTTTGATCTTTTTAAAATTTCTAATTAAAACAAATGAAATTTTAATAATTATTATTCAGAAAATATATTTAATAATATCTAGTTAAATCTAAATTAATATATTTTCACAAAATAACATTAATAGTATTTGACAAAAACAAAATATAAAAAAAGATAAAAATAATTTTTATGTAAAATTATAGTATATATTAATATGTATATATATTATATAAATAATTTATTATATAAGATAATTATTAATTATATAAATAAAATATTATTAAAAATAAATATATTTTAAATATTATTAATTATTAAAAAAATTTTTTTTTAATTAATTAATAATTAAAATTAGATATATAAACATAAATAATAAAATAAATATATTATAAATGTATAAATTATGTTTATCTTTTATTTCAAATAATAAAATATAAATTATATATATAATATTTACATATATATAAAATATTAATTTTATTTATTAAAAATTTTTTAATATATATTTTTGTTTATATTTTAATATAAATATAAAAATAAATTTATATTTTATTCATATATATAAATGTATTTATTATTTTATTTTTTTAGTTTTAAATTATTGTTTTTTATATTTTAATATTTTAATATTTTAATAATAAAAAAATAAAGTTTAAATAAACTTAAACATTAAATATTATAATGTATATTATTATTAATAATACTATATATAAAATTATAATATAAAATGCAAATTAATAACAACATATAATATATATTTATATATTTATATATTTTAAATATCATAAATATAATAAAAAATAATATTAATATTTATATTAAAATCATTCACCTATAAATATATATATATTAATAAATAAAATAATTTTTAAAATATATTATTATTAATAAATGTATATATATAAAATAAATACCTATTTATAAATCCTTAAAATCTATATATATATTATAATATTTCTGTAAAAATTAATAATTATTATAGCTAACTTTTTTATTATTTACAAAATTTTTATTATAATTATTATTAATATATTATAAAAAAAGAAATACTATTTAACGATTATTTAGAAAATTTACTTAATTCATTTATAATTTATTCTTATTTATATAATTTTATTAATTATTAAATATCTTATTATTCTAATAATTAAAATTTTAATAATCTTTCACATTTTTTTATTTATGTTTTTATTTTTCTAAGCTTTTCTAAAAGTTATGGTTAAGCATTATCTTAATATTAATTATATTTTTATATTATTTGATTTTAATATAATTATATTTAATTATATAATTGATTTCTATCTTTAACAAGAAATAGCAAATTTTAAATAAAATCCAAGTAAATAAAGTAAGATATTATAAATAACACACAAGAAAATTTTATCATTAATTTTTTTTTATTTATTTAAAAATGTAAATTATATCAATTGTATATTATATTTTATTATTTTCATATTCTTTTTTAAAAAAATAAAATTTTAATAAAAATATTAGCATAATAAAAATTTTTAATTAATATATCAAAAAAAATCAATATATAAATATATATATATATATTAATTTACATTTAAAAAATAAAAATAATACTATTAAATTTTTATATTTACTTTATATATAAATAATTCATATATATATATAAATAAACAACATTTTAATATTATATAAACAAACAAATGTATATAAAATAAACAACAATTTTTTAAATTATTAAAATAATATAAAATAAAGTAAAAGAAAAGATTAAGTAACATATCTTATATATCCATAATTAAAAAATTAGAAAAAAATAAAATAAAAATAATAATATATAAAGTTTTAAATATAGACTTATTAATAAAAAATTTTAAAAAAAAGGTTTAAATTATAGTGTGTCAAAAAAAATAATAAAGAAAATATAAAGATAAGAAATTTCAGGTATGAATAGTAATATTTAAGAAATAAAAATATTGAATAAAAATATAAATTATTATATATATATATAAAATATATATGTAATCTATATTAATATTTAATTTTTATTTTATTTATTATTTTATAATTATTTTTGTCTATATAATTAAAAAGTTTTGTAACATACAATTTTTTTTTTTTTTTTTTAAATTAATTATTTAATTTTTTACTTAATTAATTTTTTTTCTAATTATTCATTATCTTATTATATTATATTTTTTTATTTTAAGTTTATTTTTCATATATTTATTTAATTATTATAAACTATTTTTTAATACTTTCTAATATCATTATTTACTTAAATTTTCTATATTTTTTTTTTTTATTATCTACATAAACTAATTCTTATATTTTATATTCTCATACATTTATAAATTTTTCATATTATCTAATAATTAAATTTTATATTTTTTGATGTTTTTAATTTTGTTTTTATGTTTCTTATTACTTCTTAATTTTTATTTTTAATAATTTTTTTTTAATAGTCTAATTTCAAATTCTTTCTTTTACTAAAGATTTAATAATAAAATAAATTATACTGATTTATTTTCTGACTTGAATAAAATATATATACCTGATTTAGAAATGTAAAAATATTAATAACAAATTATTTTTTATAATTAATAAAATCTTCATGTCTTTAAAATATTATTTTTATCAATTTTTTATTCAACACTATTACTATTAATATATGTAAAATGTATTTTATATATTATATTATTATTAAAATTATCTTAGTTAAATACCATTGATACATAACTAATTAAATATTTTTATTTATTTCTAATATAAAAAAAAAGGTTTTGAAATGCATTAAAATTCCATATTCTATATTTGTAAATATAAATTAATTTATTATTAAAACATAGTGTATAAAAAATATAAAAATATAGTAATTAAAAAGACATTTAGATATAATATAACAAAAAAACAATAGAAAAAAGAAAATATTATATATATAAAAATAAAATGTTAAAAATACCAAAGTTCTTATTTTAAAATATACATAAATTAAATTAATAACAAATTAATAAAATGCCTAATGGAAAACAGATTCCCTATGCAACATAAATGGATTTAGCAGGTTTAATTCAATACTAAAAAAATAAATAACAAAATACAAATACTTATTTATTTATAAATATAAATAAATATTTGTATTTAATTTTACATTAATATATAAATATATATAATTATATATAAATATATATATATATATATTATAAAATATATAGAAATACCAAATGATCTTCCTTTAATTAATAAAATAAAGGACTTAATATATGTAATTATTAAAAAATCTTTTAAAATAATAAAATAAAAAATAAGTAAAAAGGACCGATATCATTAAGTGAATATTGGCATTTAGCATTATTAGATGAATAACATGGTTTAAATTATTAAAAATAATATATATATTTCTTTATATAATATTTATATTTTATTTATTTTTATATAGGATATTATATGAAAAATGACGTAATTTCAGCTAAAGGTGATTTTATTACATCAGTTGAAATATCTTAAATGTTTGGTGAAATTTTAGGTATTTGGACCATAAATACTCTTTAATAAATTGGTGCTATAAATTTAAGTAATACAAATTCAGATAGAGATAAAAAGAAATTTTCTTTAGTTGAATTCGGACCTGGAAGAGGTACTTTAATGAGTGATATAATAAGAGTTTTATACCAATTTAATCTTTTAAATGGCATAGAAATAAATTTAATAGAATATTCGCCTTATATGAGAAAATTATAGCAAGAAAAAATTATTAATTAGCTATAAAAATACGGAATTTATATGTCATATGATTATAATGAAGCCAAAAAAAGTAAAGTAGAACGTTTTGTGAGCGAAAACAAAGACATTATTATGAGTATAAGATGGTTTAAAATGTATGAAAATATGCTTTTTGAAGATTTTGGAGATTTAGTAATGCCTTAATTAGATTAGAAAAAATAAAAAAGTTTAAGTATAAATATTTTATTAAAAATGTTTCTATATTTTATATAGAGCCTATAATTGTTTTTGCACATGAATTTTTCGATGCTTTACCAGCACATTAATTTGTATATTAAAAAGGTAAAGGCTGGTGTGAAAAATTAGTAAATATTAATTACGATTCAATGAAAATGTATATATATATATATATATATTTATATATATATATATATATATATTATATATATATATATATATATAATATAAGTTTATATATTATTATAAATATAATAAATAGGAAAAATTTTGATTGGATTCATTCTGATGGGCCTAATGAGAATGTTGAGAAAATTTTGTAACCAAAAAAAACTTTTGCAAATGAAAAAATGAAATAAATAATAGATGGTGATTAAATAGAAATATAAGCTAAATCTCCTATAATAATTAATTCTTTATCTGAACTCATATAAAAGACAAATGGAGCAATTCTTTCTATAGATTATGGTGAAAACTAAGCATTTTCAAACAGTTTTAGAGGAATTAGAAAACACAAATTTATCAAAAATGAAGATATATTGGAATATCCAGGTTAAATAGACCTCTCAGCTTATGTAAATTTTGCTCATTTAGCCGAAGCATCATAATAAGTGAAAGGAATAAAAGCTTACGATATAATGACTTAAGGTTTATTTTTAGAATCTATGGGTTTAAATACAAGATTAGAAGTAATTTTATTTTAAAATAAAAAGAAGAAAAATTTTTATAATAAATAAAAAAAATAAAAAGATGTTATGTAAAAATGTAAATATTTAAAAAAAAAAAGCTTTAGAAGAAGAATATTATAGACTAGTATCTCCTGAAGAAATGGGAGGTACATATAAAGTATAATATATAGGATTATAAAAAAATGGAGAAGTTTTTCCTTTTATATCTAATAATTAATAAATATATTATTGAATATATAGATTTTCATTATTTTTATTGTTTTATTAAATCTTCTTTAATAAAACTAATTTTTTCATCCTCTTTTTTTTTATATTTTTATGTTTCTGTATCATAAAAAGTTTAAATTTGTTAAATTTAAGATAAAAAAAGGGCTTTGTATTTAACAAAATCTTAATACTAATTTTCTAATTATATTAAAATATTTTAAAAATCATCAAATTCATTCCTTTTAGGAGTACTATTATGTAGTGAACTAAATTATGATAAATTTCTATTTTATAAATATGTTAATTTAGATTTTCGAGATTATACTGTATAGTTTTTATGTATTTTTGGGAAAAGAAGCTATTATTCTTTCTCGGCTTTTTCTTTTAAATTTTTCTCACGTTTATTAAGTAATATTTCATTCATTTTTTTAGTAGGATTTAATATATCATCATATAGTTTCTTTTAATCTTTAAATTTACTCTTTAATTATTATAATTCTTATTATCTTTCTTATTATTATTTTATTAAGGCATTTGCCCATTTTTTTTTGAATATTTATTAATTTACTTTATGTAAAGTTTACTAAACTTATTCAGCCTTTTATTTATAACTATATTTATAAAAAAAATATACAAATAGATGTATATATATATATATATATATATATATATATATATATATATATATATATATATTCATATTATTTACATTTGATAATAAACACTTATTTTGCATTATTGATCATCTAAAATAAGTTGTTCGGGATCTAAATTTGGAAAAAGTCCTTTATTTTTATATCTAAGTCTTTCTTCTTATATTTTTTTTTAATTCTATTCAATAATTTACTTATATACATTCTGTTCATATTCCAAATTAATTTTATTATTAATTTCTTTTTAAGCATCTTGTATAAAAATATCTAATTTTTAAAAGAAAAAGTTCGAGTCGCTTTAATTATTATTATTATCATATTCTTATAAAAAAGGATCATTTGATAATTCTTAGAGTATTTTAGATTAAAAAACTAATGTTTTTTTATGCTATTATGAATTTATTATCTACCTGTATGATTTATTTACTATATTTTCGTATTTTTCTAAGTATTTTGTACCATATATATCTTTATCATTTAAAGATTATTGACTTTCTTCATATAGAATACCACTTTTTTATTCATTATATTAAGCCATTTTTATATTCTTTTTATATTTTTGTATATTTTATAGAAAATCCTGATGATTTTCCCTATTTAATTATTATAAAAAAGGTTTTATTTCTAAATAAGAATCTATATTCTTGAAAATTCGCATATTTTTTTCGAAAATTTAGTCTTTATTTTAAGGTTATAGTTTCATTCTTTTTCTTATATTGAACATTATTTCATTTGCGGAGTTTTTTTTTATATCGGGAGTATTTTTTTCCTGATTTTGATTATTTAAATTAATCAATCTTTTCTAGCTTCGTTATAGCAAATATTACTTAAAATCTTACAAATAATTCTATTATTAATCTAAATTCTTTAATGAGCTATTTCTATCAAGCACATAATTACTTTCAGTCACAAAAAATTAACTTAAATAAGATATATTTATACTTTTTTTGATTTTTTTTGAAATTTTTGAATAATCATAGTCATCTGCAGTATCATTATTAGTGTTTTCTAAAGGCGAAGTATAGTTATATTTTGATAAATTTGCATTTTTTGATAATTACATATTTATTAAATTTGTGAATAATAAAATAAATTAATTATATACTTAAAAAATAATATGAAATTAATTATATTATGAAATATATGTATTTTTAAAAAATGTAAATATATATCAAAAATAATAAATATTAAATTAATAAAAAGTTAATAAAATATTTTTATTAATAATACATATATATAAACACAAAATTAAATATTAATAATATATATATAAAAATTAAAAATAATTTATATATAAAATTCAAAATTAAATTAAGTTAATTCATATCCATTAAAATAAATAAAAAAATAAAACTAAAAAAAAAAATATAATAATAATTTATAATAAAAAGTATATTTTTTAATTTAAAAAATTATATACATATATATATATATATATATATATATATAAATATATTTATTTATTTATATTATCAATTTTTATTTATATATTAGATTTTATCTTTTTATCTTTTATTAATATATTTAAAAATAAAAAAGTTATAAAAATGAATATAGATGTGTTTTTTTTAATTTTATAAAAAAATAAATAATTGTATATATATAAAATCTACTATTTTACTATTTATTTTTAATTGATATTTTTATTTATTATTATTTTCAATTATATTTCTCGTCTTCCTCATCTTCATCTTTTTTCTTATTCGGATCTTCCATAATACCATCTTCGATATCTTCTTTATCCATTTCTTTTATAAGTTTAAGCCTTTATTATAATTCTTTTTCTTATTTTTGAGTTATTTTTTTTATTTCTTATTAATTATTTAATATCTACTAAGTTTAAACTAATAAATGAGTTTCATATTTTTATAATTACTATTGTAAAATTATATATAAATATATTATTTAAATATTACTTTTTATAAATTATCATAGCATATTTTCTAATAATTTTCTTCTACCTCAACTTTTTTATCCTCATCATATTCTTCTTCAGTTAAATCTTTTATTCCTACTAATTCTTCTTTCGCTTTCTTTAACATTCTTCGTTCCTCTAGTATTTTTTTATCTAAATCATGAATAAATTTCCAGTTTAAAAAGGCTAAAATTATTATAAAAACACCACCTACTCCTAAAATAATTAAAGGAATAAGCCAATGGTGTACTACGACAGCTATAACAGCCGAAAAATGAATCCACCCACATAATACATACCCTCCAGTATCCAAAGCATTAACTTTTTTCACCAAACAAGGTTTCATTTTATGTGTTAAAAACCCGAATAAAAACATCAGGATACTACTGCAAATAAATCCATATATTTAAACATCTTTATCAAACATAAAAGCCATAATTCCAGTCAAAACAAACCTCATTTAACCACCAATTACTAAATAAGTAGGATCATATCTAAAATCTAAAGCACGATTTTAATATTAAACATTTGGCCATAAAAAGCTTCCAATTGGATAAAATATTAACAAGCTTAAACCACCTATAGCCATATATTATATATGTTTTTATGAAAAACATTATAAATTTAAATCTTAATATAACAATTTTGGTATCTAATTATATATATATATATATATATATATATATATATATATATATATATATATATTTATGTAATTATTAAAATTTAATACTTCTGAATAATTACAAGAATAAGCATCAACAGCAATTTTTATTATCCAATAATATAAAAAGTGTCCGACAAAATTTGCAAATTAAATCTAAAAAAAATCATAAGAAAATCTATGTTTTTTTCTTTTTGATTCACTCTAAAAATAAATGAAATATAATATAATATAATATATATATATATATATATATATATATATATATATATATATATATATATATATATATATATATATATTAATTGTTTATTATTTTATATATTACATATCCATATTTTAAAGTTTTTATTCTTATTATAGATCTATATAAAACCAAAAAGAATAATAAAGAACTACTAAACCCTACCCAAAACATTATCATATAATCCTAAAAAAATAAAATATACATATATAAATAAATATAGGCATATTTATATAAACCGCAAAAGGCATCTCAGTATTTGCAAAATTCAGTATATTTAGCACAATCTCATCTAAATTCCATGAATTTAAACTAGGTCTAAAGGCCAAAGAAAAGAACATAAAGAACTCTAAAAACTTACAAACAATTACAAAAAAATTCGTAAAATTAAACCTTATTTCCACAAACCCAATTTCCTCATCTTTTTTTATTTAGAATTATTTTTCCTAATGTTATATTTCGTCTACCATAATATTACATATTTCAGGCCATTCAGGCGATTCTTAATGATAAAAACCTCTTCCATTTGCATTTTTTTTCGCTCCCTAAGTCTAGGGTGCCAAAATACTATTATTAACTAAATTAACTTCCATAAAAATATCATCTTTTCCATCACTTTTAATATCCTTATCTAATAGACATAAACTTTTTAAAAAATAATTGGTGTTTTTCAACATTTAATCGAAAATCTTCTTCATTCTTTCTAAACATCTTTAGCATTTTCCCTTTCTTTTCTTCAATCTATCATCAATATCAGGCATATCTACCTGATCTAACATTTCATGCTTTTCCAAAAGCCCTAATTCCTTCTTTAATTTATAATAATAAGCCTCATCTTCTGCAACAAGTTCAGCATAAAGGTCATATTCTCCATACATTTTCAATAAAAAAAGCACATAATCCCATTCATGAGTATATAAAGCCCTAAAAGGTGGTAAATTCCACAACAAATAAGGATAAAGCCACATTTTACACAATTTTCCCATAGCTTCTTCATCAGGTTCAAATGGATATTTCATTTTAGCAATTTAAGTAAGTATTTCTTAAAATCTATTAAATGTAATAGGATTTTAATTAGGTTTATTATTATAAGTAGTAAATTTTGCATATTTAACATCTATAATAAAATCTTCAATTTCTTTGCAAGGCATGACGCCTCCTTTAGATAAAATTTCTTTAAACATGATATAGTCTACCCATTTAGTGTTTTTAAATTTCTTAGAAGAACCCCAAGCGAATATATGAAATATATCTTTTAATAATTTCTATGTATAAGGTTTACTTATTTAAACTTATTAACCTAAATCATATCTTCTTAATGGTTCTATTATTTTCTCATGCATAGGTCTATTAGATTTACTCATTATATATTTTTTTTACCAAGGATCCTATATATATAAATATATATATATATATATATATATATATATATATATTTATAATTATATTTATATTTATATTTGTATTTATATATATATCCATATATATATCTGTATGAGTATATTTTTGTATAATTACTTCTTCCATAGTTTCAAATTCTTCTTCTAGTTTTTATTATTCTCTAGCTTGATTTAATGCTTTTTATATTTCATTTTCTATATTATCTAATTCGTTTTAAGTTTACATATCTATATTATTATTATCAATATTATTAAGATTTTTATCATAATAGTCTTTATAGCAACATAATAAAAGGAGAAAATTTTTTATACATTGTTCTTTGAATTTAGATTAATTATTTTTATTTCTGTTCATTATCTTATTGTAAGCATTAGCATCTATTATTATTTTAGAAAAACGTGGATCAGGGTCTTTTTCAGAAACATTAGCATAATAAACAGGCATTTTTAAATTAATTAAATCTTGTTTTATACCTTCAGCTCCATTAATAAGATATCCCTTTAAAATTTATATAAATAATATATGTATATATATATATATATTAATATGATAAATATATATATATATATATATATATATATATATATATATATTTTTATAATATGTGTTTATATATATATAATTTATATTTATAATATATACTAATAACCTATGTTTATATATTTAAAACAATAATTAAAATATATTTATATTTATATATATATTTATTTTATCTTATATAAATATATTATTATCTTATTTTATTTATATTTAATGTATTACCTAATACATCAAATCAATCACATGAAAATCAGATTTAACATGAAATTTTGCTAACTTTTTTATAACTTTAGCGGCTATAAATTCAAATTTTTTCTAAAAATTTCTTCTTTTAAAATATAAATGTATAAATATTGCTAAAATTCCAATACCTAAAAATACTAATATAGCAATAAAACCAATTATAATTTTTTAATAGAGTATTATATCTTCATCATCTTAACTAAGATATTATACACTGATTTAATATATATTTAAAAAAATATATGTATAAAATAAAATATAATTTTAATATTAATATAAATATATATATATATATATAAATGTATAATTAAATATATATAAATATTTTTTTTATATATATATAATAAATATCTAATTTATTTCTTAAATATTATTATAATTTTTATATAAATATTATATATTATTACCTCACTGGAATAATACCTGCAAAAGGTAAATAAAGAAATATCCAACAAAATACAATTAATGACGGTATACTGAATTTTGAAAATTCATCAAAGTTTTATTTTATTTTATAAAAAATATAAAAAACTATAGCTACAATTGGAAACCCTATCATAACTGTAATAATATTATATTTCTTATCTTCATCGCCTTGATATATAACATAAAATATTCCCAATATAACTGGCACATAAAAAAAGCTAAAAACCAATACTGACCTTAATACTTTATGTTAAATATCTAGAGTTTATTACCTTTCGCCTTTACTTTCTAAAATCTAAGTTATAGTTTCACTAAATGAGACTGCGATTTTTTCTTTTTCTGGTATTATCTTCATAAAAAGTAAAATAAGAGAAGTTATAAATAGGAACAATATGACAAATTACATACCAAAAACAGCTCCAGATTACTACAAATTTATATATGTAGGTTTATTAAAAGTCATAAAAATTAAAACTGTCAAAGTAATAATATACCCAAAAGCATTTCCCCACAGCCCAAAATTAATTAATTAATACCTAAAAATATTCGAGAGATCGAATTTTTAACTTTCATTGAATTCCTCTTTTTCCAGTTCTTCGATTTCCTCTTTTTTTCCTTCTTTTTTTAACTTCTCTTTTAATTGCCTTTTCCTCTATTTCATCCTTATATTTAAAAATACTAACAAAAACCCAACTCCAACTAAAAAACTAACTCCTATAATAATAAGTATAATCTCTATTATTTCCGCAAAATCATCATAATCTCCGAAATAATCAACTGATCTCAATGGAATTATAAACACTAAAGGAATTAAAAAAAAACGCATATATAACTTTACAAAAACATCCCTATTTTCCAACTTTTTATCTTAATAAATACCAAAGAAATCCAATATAGACTTAAACCACATGGTCCTAATGAAAAATAATTCCTTATAGGCCTTATTTAGTAATATTCTTCCATTATAACTGACAATGGCATCAAAAAACATATAGGAATTAGCCCTCCGCATATAGGAAACCATATAAACTTAATTTTTTCGGAAAAGGATGTTGATAAAAGGAACGAAGTGCCCACAAAAATAACTATTGGAATAATAAAAACGAAAAAAATGGACATAAAAAAGCCTTAATGATTCAAAAATCTATTATTATCTATACCCATTTATAATTAATGTACCATTTCTAATATTGGTATTATCGTTAAAATCAATAAAGAGGCCCCAAGGGCACATGATGAGAATATAATTAAGTAATTTTGGAGAATAATTTAGGTTCTGGGGTCTGGTTTATCCTTTTAGAGTTCAATTTTTAACATTAGATGTTTTTTTTAAATTTATCGATTTTTCCAGTCTCTTTCTTCTTCTTATTATTCTTTTAGTTTTTTTTATTATTCGGCTTCATTTATTACTCTTTATTTTATTTTTTCCTCTAATAATAATTACTAATCTTAAGGGTTAAATATATCTATTTTTTGTTCAAATTATTATTTAACTTATTCTTTTTCTTCTTCTTTCTTTTATTATTCTTCTTTTAATAATTGTTCTATTTCTTCATATGATTCTTCATTATTATTATTCTCATCTTCGATTTTTAAATTATTTATAGTTTTGATCATCAAAGTAGGTACTTATTTCTCTTTTTATATATGCTCTTCAAGTTTTTTTTCATCTTCTAAAGTCAAACGATCAGGCACTTTTTATAAATAAGGAGCAAAAAAACGAAAATGCATATAAACCCATCCTAGACACAACATTATTATATATGGACCGGCTAATATTTTAAAAAACTCAACGCCCCTAAGTTTTTTTTTTTTATATATATATAAATATATATATAAATATATATATATATATATAAATATATATATATATATATATATATATATGTATATTTAAATTATATATATAATTATTTACCATCTAAAATTTAAATCAAAAGTGGTACTTGTAGTATATACAGTAAATCCGAAAATCAAAGCAGCTAATATAATGAATTATATTAAATGGAATATATTTTTAGTTTAAATATTAAAATGATTTCTTAAATTAATTATAACAAAAATTAAATAATATATATAAATATTATTTTATTATTACTTAATATCTTATGTTATCATAGACGTAGTTACCCAAAATAAGTATATACCGAAAGAATAAACACAATTGATATATCCAGGTGATTATATAGGCACATGTTTATATCTTTTTAAAGCATCCTAATTAAATAATTATGATTAAAAAATAAATATAGATGTATATAAATTAATATATATATATATATATATATATATATATATATATATATATATATATATATATATATATATATTAAAATTTACACAAACATAATACATGAAAGCGAAAATTGAAGGTACAAATTAACAAAAAAATAAAACTCCATAGAAATAATAATTATAAAAGCTAACAATAATAATTCCATAAATAATAAAAATAAATGAACCAATAATAATATTTTCTGAAATATATTATTTTAAATCATCATAAGTATCAGGCTTAGTAATATTTTTTGAATCACTTGTAATAGTAACATAAACAATAGTTATAATTAAAATTAGAGAAATAAACCACAAAATATCAATTCCTATTATGTTTCTGGATAATTTAACTAAACAATTATTTAATTATTCGAATTTATATAAAAAAAACTGGTTTATATTATGTATTGTTTTGCTTAAAAAAGACATAACTTTGATATATTTTGTATTATATTCAATTAGAAATTAAAATCGCAGCATTTCTTTTAATTTGTATTTTCTAATTGCCTTATTTAATACATTTAAAAGTACTTTTCCGCCACTTAAGCACTCATTACATAGGTTTATTAATTATTATTATCTTATTTTTTTTCGTTTGTAATTTCGTCTTATAAATAATTTGATGAATGCACATCATTTTTGTTAGTAAATAGATTGTTATCTTACTTACTATCATATTAATTAGCTGTTACTATTTAAAGAAATCCTTTATTTTATTAAATAGGAAAAATACGAGAACCAAAAGACTTTTTTTTATTTTTAAAATTTAATTTCTAATTAGACTTTTACATAGTTTATTATTATTAAATTTTTAATATTTATTACTAATATTATTACTGTTTTTATTAATGTAAATTTTAAGAATTATAAAAACTTGAATTATTAGATTTTACTACATTTTTAAAGTCCAAAGACTTTAAAATTGCCTATTAATTATTTTTTAAAACAGATTAATATTTATTATTATTATTATTATTATTATTATTATTATTATTATTATTATTATCATCTATGTTACTTATACTTTTAATATTATTTTTATTTATAAATTTATCTTTTTAATTTTTATTTTTGTTTATCTATTTTATTAATTTATTATTAAATTATTATTATTTTTGGTAATATTTTTGTTTTCATTTTTTTAATTAATTTCCATATTTTAAATATTAAAGTCATCATTTATTTATTCTATTTCTAAATAGTCTTAACTTTATTTATTATTTCTATCGGAACCTTTACTTTGCGACTCTAAATTAAAACTTGATTTTTAATAAAGTTATTTTTATTAAGTTTATTCCTTTTCTGGTTAGTAGCCTTGTAATTATTGATATTAATATAATAAACCTAACATTGGTTTCGAAATTTGTGATTGCATTTATTTATTTTGCGTCGATAATATTTATAAAGTGGGAATCTGGTTAATACTTTTTTATATTTTAGGGCTTTAACTAAGAATTTCAGAATCATTTTTGACAGATTGTAATTTCATAATTAATTTTTATAAAATTTTATTTTATATTATATTTATTTATATATAAAAAAAAATTATTTATATTATTTTTTTTAACTTATTATTTTAAATATAATTTTATAATCATTATATTCTTAATTTATTTTAATTAATAATTTATATATAACATTTATAAATCAATATTATTATTATTATTTATTTTTATAAATTTATATATATATTTTATTTTTTTCTTATTTATATCAATTATAATATTTAATAATTATTTTTTTATTTATAATTTAATATAATAAAATTATTATTTAAATTTAAAATAATAAAATTTGCAAATTAATGTTCAAATAAAATTAAAAAAAAAAAAACATTATAATTTTAATTTCTATTATATTAAAAAGTATTATAATATATATTTAAAAACTTAATTTTTTTTTAAATTCATATGAAATTATATTATTAAATTAAATTGAATTTTTATAAATATTTTGATTTTTATTTATTTGATTTAATAAAAATAAAAGTAATTTTTTTTATATATAAATAATTCTAATTTTTAAAATATATTAAGAATATTTTATTTTATTTAATTAATTTTTTTTATATATAATATATATATAAATTATATATAAATTTTTATAATAATTAAAATATATTTATTAAATATTATTATTTTAGAATTATAAAAAATAATAATGACTTATAATAAAAAGTTATATAAATAAGTAAAAAATATAATTAGATATAACAAATTCATTAATTTTTTTTAATAATTAAAATAATTTTAAATAAATAAAGTTATTATGAATATAATAAATTTATTTTAATTATTATATTACTAATCTTAATTTTTAATAACAAAGTAATTTATATAATTTTTTAGAAATGAAATTCATAACATTTTTTCTAATGGTCTATTATTATTATTATCTAAATTAATAAAATTTAAATTATATTAAAAAAAAAAAAATTATATTATATTAAAATATATATAAATTAAATTAAAATTAAATTAAATTAAATTAAATTAAATTAAATATTATTTATTATATTTAATTTTTTACAAACATATAATTTTGTTAATTTAATATATTATTTTTATTTCAAAATAAATTTATCTATTATGATATGAAAAATCATATTATTTAAAATAATTTAATAATATTTAAATTATTATTTTTTTTATTTTTTTTTCATAAATATTTCTTATTAATTTATTAATATTAATTTAAAGTAAAATATAAATATACAAAATATATTTTATTATTTTAAATTAATAAAAAATTTTTTTTTTTTAAAAAAAACAAATATTTTTTATTAAAAATTGTATATATATATATATATATATATATATATATATATATATATATATTTTCTTAATAATATTTATTGTTTTCGTTTTATTTTTTTTATTTTTTTTTTCAAAACGGTGCATCAATATATTCAAAAACAACTTTTTTTTTTTACAATAATTAAAAACATAAAGAAAAATAAAAATAAAAAAATTAATATTAGTATAATATAACAAATTTATTATTATTAAATTAAAACAAAAAATAAAAAAGGTAAAAAAATAATAAATAAGCAAACATGAATAAAATAATAATATTATTAATTACAATATGTTTAATTAACTGTAATATATCAGCATTTGATTAAAATACATTTTTACAGGTATAATAAATAAATATCTAAATTTAATATAAATAAGATCTAATTATTAATCATTTTTTATATTAAAAAAAAAAAAAAAAACTTATTTCTATTAATTTTATAAAATAAAAAAAGATAAAAAAAACAGCTTTTGGTTAATCAATAACCTCTCTTATTTAAATTTAAATGTAATCTGGGGAACCTTCCGGTAGATTAAACGCAATAAACGACGTACTGAATTCCGTAGAATCTTCTTTATAATTTTAAAACTAATCTTAATTAAATTGGATAGATAGTGTTCGTAAATAATGCAATGATGGTAAATATAAATGATAAATAAATAAATATTAAAATAAAAAAAGACTAAACTTACAACAAAGAAAAAATGTTAGAATATGGAAACTCATTATAATAAAATTTAGACGAAGAAGAAAAATTATAAAACGAAGAAAATTAAAAAAACAGTGATCTTTTAGAATAGAAATAATCTTTACAAAATGCTACTGATTAATTGAAAAAGACAAATGAAGAATTAATATAAGAAAATTTGAAATTCGAAAATTAAAAAAATGATTACTAATAAGCTATTTAGGCATGTGAAACTTCTTTAAAGTTAACATTTATTTATATATTTATATATTTTTAAAATTAAATTAGATTATTAAATTAATTAGTGCAATAAAATAATAGTTCTTTTGTTTAATTAGGATCAACATCTTCAAAACTTATCAAATTAAAAGTTTTGCTATAGGAAAAATTATAAGGACATTAATCTTAAATAATTGGAAGTATTTTAAATATTTTAACAGAACTTAGTTCTAATAAAGAAGAAGTTGATTAAGTGAAACTTAACAAAATTATTTCTTTAATTAATTAGCTTTTGGATTAATTAAGATAATAATTATAATAATTAATTGATAGTCATACAATTCTTTTAGATAATTAAAATAATGTTTTGGATTCAACTTAAAAACAAATCGATCATTCTACTTAATAAATTATAGTTTTAGATGATAGACTTAATTTTATTTAATTAAGATTAGAAGAATTATAAACTAATATAGATATTACATAAACATTAAAAGAAATGTAAGAAAAATTACTAAATAATAAAATAAAATAGTGCAATAATGATGAATCAAATTATTTATAAGGAAAGAATGAAAGGTATATATAAGTTATATATATATATATATATATTATATATAATATATATATATATATATATATATATATATATATTATTTTTTTGTATATATTATTTTTTATTATTCTATTTTAAGAGATGAATAATTGAATGCTTTAAATACAATTAGAAGATATTTTGAAAGTCAAATTATTCCTTCTGTTGAAAATATTAATGATAATCATTATTATGATAGAATAACTAATTGATTTAATATATATTTTAAAAAAGGAAAAATATATATTTATAAGGTTTGTTTCTTTTATATAAACAAATCATTATATTCATTATATAATTTTACATAAAATCATCATTTTATTTATAATTATGAAAAATAATAAAACAAACTATATTTTTTATTTAAAAAATTAAATTAATATATATAAAAAAAAAAACAAATAAAAAATAAAAATATAACTCTTTAAAACAAAACAAAATTTCTATATTTAAAATAATGTAAGCAATATCAAGTAATGATTATAGTTTTTCAGCAAAACCAAAAGTTTTAAAATAAAGTTCAAAATACCGAGACCAAAACTAATCTTAATAAAACAAAGAAGATGAAGAAAAGTACAAAAAAAAAAAAAAAAAACATCAAATAAAAATAAACAAACAAAAACTAAAAAAAGTCAAAAATATAACAATATAATGTTCGATAAACACGTAGTCCGTGGAAATACATACGCCCGAATAATAACATCAAAAGACTCCGAAACAGCTCTTCCCTAAAGGCATACTTAGTATTAAAAAAAGAACCTTCAATCGGTAAAAATTTCCCCAAAAAACTCCCAATAAACAAATATAAATAGCAAATAAAGGATATATCTGACCTATAAAAAGATTAATATGAACCCCAAACACCTAAGCCCCTTCCAGGCCGTCAAAACGTCGAAATAATGACAGATGAATACGTCGAAACACTAACGGACAAGCCCCCAAACTATGAAAAAGACACACAAACAGAGTTTATAATTCCAAAACCTAACCCTATATTAATAATGCCTTGCAAGACTGGTTTGGATAGAGAAACTTAGATATGGGATGGCGATTTATTCGATTTCGATTATGAAGTAGAGCCTTTATTATAGGCTTTAATAGGCAAAACACTCGAATTTTCCAGAATGGAAGTTTTGGAAGAGGAAGAATTGCGAGTAATGAAAAACGAATAGAAGAAATTTACTGAATTAAGAAATAAAGAATAAGATGAAGTCAGATAATTAGAAGAAAAGGAAAAAAGACTTCTCGAGGAAAATACAAAAAGGAAAAACGATTACAAATAAAAACTTAAATAAAACATATTAGCACACTAATAAATTTTATCGAGAAATTTAGCGAAAAAATACCTACTTTAAATCAAAAAAAATACACTTTAAGACCTTTAAAACTAAAATATTTTCTATGATCCTGTCAAAAATGCACTTTTTGAGGATATATTGCCCTGGTTCTATACTAATGTGGAGTAAATATTAAATACTGAGTAGAAAATAGATAAATCTTTCGAATTAATATGTACTGAAATAGTAGAAAATACCATTAAATAGCATTCTAATGTACATTAAAAGTATATTGAAAACAGAAAAAAGGCTATATATGAATAAAAAATTTAATAGTAAGAATTAGAAGAAAGACGAGAAAAGAAAAGAATAGCCAGAGAGAAAAAATAAGAATAAGAAAGAAGAAACAAAATAACAGAAGAAATAAATTAAAGAATTCATTCAAAAGGGGAACTTAAAAATAACGTTTTATAATAAAATATATGTGATATAGATGGCGCTTAATAAAATAAACCTTTCGTAGGTCTAATGGGAGGTTTAATTGGAGAATTTTTGTTGTTTTTAAAGGCTTTGAGTTAATATTCAGATGAGGAAATAGCTTAAACTACAAAAGAAATTTTATCAAATACAGATAAAGTATATATAAATATATATTTAAAAATATTTTTAAATATATAATATATTTAAATATATATATTAGATATTAGATATTTTTAAAGACCTTTTAAATTCTGTTTTATCGGAAGGATATTTAGAATTTTCTATAAATGCTAAAATCGAAAACTAATTGATTTAAATAAAAGAAGATTTAAATCTTTAGAATTTAAATACTATAGAAGAAGGATAAAAAAACTAAGTAATTGGATTATTATTATAATATTTTTCAACTTTTATATTAAATATAATGATTTAACATGAATAAGAATTAGGATTACCTTAAGGAATAATAAAAATATTAATAAAATTTATTTTAGAATAATATTTTATAGATGAAATAAGTATATATTATATATATATATTTAAAATAAAATATATATATATATATATATATATATATATTTGTATATATATATTATTATATTTTATTTATATATATTAATTATTTATAGTTTTATTCATACATTTTTTTTTATTTTATAATAGTTTAAAGTAAAATCAAATTTTATCCTGTAAAAACATTAAATAAATTAACTTAGTAAGGTTTAGCAAAAGTAAAGCCTAATTTATAAACTTTAACTTTAAATCCCTAATCTGAAAGATCAGGTAAAGAATAATTTAATGAAAACGAAGAAATTGTTCCTTTTATACCTGAAAATATTGTTGAGGCTGAATATGAAAATAAAGTTACCATTTTTGTGCCTAATGATTAAGATTTAGAAGTATTTGTGGTACATTTAATTGCTGAATAGGTTATAAGAAATGAAATTTTAAGAATTTCTAATGCTTTTATTAAAAATATAGATTCTAAAGAGTACTTTATTTTATACGAATTAGATTCTGTTATGTAGAATATTCATTAGTAGATTCTTGATTATATTTAACCTGATTATCCTATTTTCGATTTAAATAATTATTGATAAATTTTTATTTTTATTTTTTTGTTTTTTCTTTTTAAAAAAAAAAAAATTTATAAAATTAAATTTATTTTTTATTAAATATATAAGAATATATAATATTTTTAAAAATTATTTATTATATCATTTTGCAGCTTTTAAAAAATCATTTTAATAATTAATATTAGACAAGGATTTATTTTTTTATAAATTTTAAGATTTATACTAAGATGATTATTGAAGTTTTAAAATGTTTCCTTATTATATAACAGTATGCATATGATCTAATTTTTCCTATTTAATAATATATAAATATAAAAATATATAAATATATAAATATATATATATATTTATATATATATTTTTTATATACATATATATATTAACTTGAAAATATTTAATTTATTCCTATTAATCTTTAATTTTTATTTGTAAATTTTTATAATCTTATGCTAGATACTCAGAATTTACAATACTATATATATATTTATATAAATATATATATATATATATATATATTTATTTATTAAATAATTAAATATATAAAAAATATAATCTAAAATTTACCCTGTTTTTTATTTTAATTTTAAATAATTTTATAATTTTCTTCTTTAGTAATTTTAATAGCCTTAAACCTTTATCTGAAATCGTCTAATTCTTTATTGATTTTAACTTTTTAATCATAAACCATATCGTTTTTTTATGAAATATATAACATTTTTTCTCTTGTATGTGTCAAAATTTATATTGATTCATTATTTTTTTTCTTAAGTTTATTTAATTCTTCATTTCTTTCTTATATTTTTTGATTTAAAGTTTGATTTTCAATTTTAAGTTATTCGAAATCTATTAAATGTAAATCTTATGCAATTTCGTCTTTTTATAATAAAGATTTTTAGTTTTTTAAATAAGAATTTCTTAATTTTAAAATAATTAATCTTAATTCTTATATCTAATTAAAAAATGTAAATATATAAATATTTATATATATATATTATTTGTTATATTATCTTTAATTTTTAATTACAAATTCTAATATAATTTAGAATAAAAAAACTACAAAAATATAGTAATGAAATAGTAATAAAAAAATTTCTTATAAATATGAATATATATATATATGAATATATAAATTTATTTATAAATATAAATATGTATATATATATATATATTTATATATAAATATATATTATTTTTATATTTATATTTATATTTATATATACTTCTTTAGATTTTTAATTTTCTCTTATTTTTAAATCTTCTAATACTTTTTCATCTAATATTTTATTGGTTTTAAAATTTATAGCTTTTCTTCCGACTTCTAATTTTAATTCTTAAAACGCTTCTTTAATTTCATTACATTTATTTTATTTAATTATCAACTATTATTATAATTCCATGCACATTTTATTATATTTTTCCTATATTTATTTTAAATCTAACCTAATTTAATGTACATGACCTAATGTATTTAAATATTTATGTTCGTTCATAACTATTTCTGAGCTTTATTCTACATATACATTATTTTTCTATTTTAATTTTTTTATTTCTTCTTGTAATTTTTCATTATGTTATAAAAATTCAAAATGTTATCTACTTGCATCTTAAATAGAGATTTCTAATTCATTTCTTATTTCTTACTATATATATAAAGAAATAAATAAATATATAAAAAATTATTAATACAATTTATATTTATTCTTATTATTTATATTAATTGTCCTAATCATATTTTTTAATTATTATCATTATTAATATTATTATTATTATTATTATTATTATTATTATTATTATTATTTTTGTTATTTTCTTTTTTTTATTTTCATCTTATATGTCTTCGAATATATACTCTTCTTAATTTTTTCTGGTTTCTCTTAATATTTTTTATTTTTCTTCTTCTTTTTTATTTTCAACTCTTCCTAAAATCTAATTTCCTCTTCAATTTTTTACCTTTCCAACATATCTTCTTCTTCTTAATCTTCCAAATCTGGAAAAACAATAACCGGCATTCTCTATTTAATTTACAAATGTTTAAATTAAATATTTTCACTATTTCCCTAATTATTCATATAAGTAATAGAATCTGGCATAATCCTCATATATAAATCCACTAAATTTTAATTATTAAACTCTTCTTTTTATAACTAAAATATACTCTTAAATTCTTACTTTTATTTATTAAACTCTATAAACTCCGGTCCTATGACTTAAATATCTTAGTTTTTTTCCAAATTATGTACCTTGATAGCATATATACCTAATGATTAATCTAATACTTTTCCTCGTATTTCTATCGTATTTAACTATGGCTTACATATTCTTGTATATACAATTGAATTTTCACATACTGTTAATACAATAGATACTGTTTGTTCATCACAAGAAACTCCTATTCCAATAGAATTATTTTAAGGATCTATATATATAATTTTATATTTATATTATTATTTATATATGTTATTGTTATTACTTAATAAATGAACTCGATCTTATTCACTTTCTAAAAATAAATAACCTAGTTCAATTATATAATTATATATATACTATTCAGATAGTACTTATTCTTATTCATATTATGCTGAAATAAAGCATAATTAAGAATCTTATAGAATTTAATTTTTTTATTTTCTATTTTTTTGTTGAAATAAATATGTATATATGTATATTTACATTAGTTCATAGAAATTATTATCTTATTTATTATTTAATAAAAATTATGAATATTATTAATTTATTATATTATATAATCCATCAACTTCAAATATTTGTAAGTTTTTTTATTATCTGATATCATTAATATTTTTTAATATAGCTTTTTTAGCTTTCTTTAAAAACTATTCATCTATTTCATATATATCCTTTTATTTATTTAATTATAAATGTATTTTTTGTTTTATAAATTACTATTTATGATTTGCTTAATTTATTATCAGATTTTTATATTTATTTTTATTCGTTTACTTATAAATTAATATCTTATTAAGATTCATTTTATAAAATTTAATTCTAAGTTTCCTATTTTTCTTAATTTTCCATTTCTTTTTCTTATAAATTTAATTAATTTTCTTATTATTATTCTTCCTAATTATTTTCTTTTTCTATTTAAGAATTATTATCAGTATCCATTTTATTATAAATTAATAATTTTTTGTTATTAAATATTTAATAATAAAATAATAAAAATTAATAAATTTATAAAATTTTTATTAATAAATAATATTTTTTATTTTATTAATATATAAAATAAAAACATAGCAAATATACATATTCAGTTAATTTTTATTTTTTCATCCTTTAAAATAAATTAAATATTCAAAATTACTATTAGAATAGATAGATTTTTTATTGAAAAAATGCATATTATATTATATTAATATTCTTATTCTTTTTAATATTTAACAAAGCTTTATTATATTAAATTTTTTTCAAAAACAACTTATTATTGCTATATAAATCCCTATTTATTTCTTATAACTAATAAAAATAAATACTTAATTTTATTATTTTATTTTTATTTATTTTATTTTAAATTATTAATTTCTTTTTATTTATTTATATATTAATAAAATTCGATATATTCAATTAATTAAAATTTATTTATATAATTGATCCGCCAAATAATAAAATTCATCAGAAAATGCCATATATTCTTTTATAATATTGTCTTGTAAATTAATTGAATATTCCAATTATTTTAATTTTTTACAATCTAACATGTTTAAAATATAAATCTTTTGAAATTTCTTATTATATGTTTTATATTTTTTTATTTAAACATAAGACTTCTTATATATATATATATATATTGTTTATTTTTAAACTAAATTAAATAATTTATTTTTAAATTAAAAAAGGAAGAATTATATATATATATATTAAATATTATTAAAAAAAAAAAAAAAGATAATATGAATAGAAAATATATATATGTATATTAAAACATTTAATTATTATGATAAATTATATTTAAATATAAAAATAAAATTTATAATTTAAATATTTTTTTTTAATATTTCATTAATAAATATATATGTATATATATATATATATTTTAAATATTTTTTAAATTTTCTTTTATATTGAATTAATTATTTTAATCAACTTATTTATCATTTCCTTAAATATAAATTTCATATTATTTTATAAATATTGTCTTAAGCTTATTACTTTTTCAAATTTAATTAAATATGTTAAACTTAGTTTTAAAATATATTATTCGAAATATTATCTTCCTAATATTTTCTTTTTATTATAATAAGTTCTCAATATTTTAAATAATTTGAACATCTTCTATAACGTCTTTCTTTATCAAATTGAGTTATATTTATTTAAATTATTCTTTTAATTATTTATATATATTATTTAAATTGCTATTTTCAATATGATGCAATTATTATCTAAAAATAATAATATATATATATATATATATATATATATATATATATATATATACATATTTTTATATATATATATATATATTATATATATATATATATTATTATATATATACTCTATTTTTTCAGTATCACTAAAGAATTTTTTTTTTTGGGGTTTTATTAAAGACCTAAACCTAAATAAGGCAAATTATATAAAAAACCTTTTTAATATTTAATATCTTGTTTTAATTCATTTTTTATTTTGTCAATTATTACACTTGGTTTTTCTTTTTTTTATATTATTATTTATTTATTAATTTTAACTATTTTCTTATATATTTTAAATAGTATCTTATTAATCTTAAATAGTTTCTTATTCAAAAAATAAATTAAAAAGTAAAAATATTAATTTTATATATTTCATTAAAATAATTATATATATTTAAATGCAAATATTAAAAATAATTTTTTTTTCTAATAAAAATAATAACATATATATATTTTAATTTTTGTATTTTTTTTTTAAAAAAAAAAAATGGAAATTTAATTTATATATACATAATTTTTTTATTTTTATTTTTAAATTGCATATATCTTAATAATTATTAAATACTTAAAAATCTATATATAAACTTATTTCATATATATATTAATATTTATTGATTTGCACCCCTCCCCCCCCTTTAAATAAATATAAAATTCATTATTATTATTCGTTTTGAGTAAAATATTTGAATTTTTTTTCCAGCAATTTCATTTCCTCAATATCATAAAATTACTATAAATTATGATCTCCTTAATTATTTTATTAATTAAATTAAAACAGTTATCTTTTTTTGCCAGAAAACTTATGTTTTTATTAAATATCTTCATAATTACTAATACATTTTCGAATTTTTTTATTTTATTTATCAACAATATCCTAATTATTCTCAAACTTAATTTTTCTCTTTTTTTTATTGTAAGAATTATTCAAAGAATCCCCTTTATTTTCTGAACTTTTCCTACTCAAATTCTCCATTTCCTATTCATTTTTTAATATATTACTACTTAATTTATATTAATAATGATCCTAATCATTACTATCACTACTACTACTACTCGAATAATTTTCTATTTTTATATTTTTATCAAGTCTAAACATAAAAATATCACTAATTTAATTAATTTCTTATTATCTTTTCTTTTCCAAACTCTCTATTTCTAATATTTCCTTCTAATTATATTATTAAATTTAACTGATTTCTTTTTTAAATTTCAACGCAGATTCAGCTACTATACTATTACTATTATATTTTTCCATTATATTATAATATTCGGATGTATTTGAGACTTTTTACCAATTTATTTCTTAATTGCTTTTCCTCAAAAGAATCGAGTGGATTATTTCTGAAACCTATTTTGTATTATAACCGATTTCAGTGTAGTGTTTTTGAATTTTTTTAATTTAGTTTTGTAATTATTTGAATGCTTAAGTATTTTAAATAGCTTTAAATTCAGAAGAATTTATTATTTTTTTATCCATTGTATATAGAAATTTTTATATATGTATGTAATATATATGTATATATATTTTTTTATTATAATTTTTATATATTTTTTTTAATAATTTTAATATTTTTATTTCAAAAAATAAATAAAAAAGAAGTAGAAAAATAAAATGACTATAAAAAAAAAAACATAAACATCTTTTCTTAAGTATATATATTTATATATAAATATATATATATATATATATATATATATATATATAACATTTTTTTTAATTATTATATAATTAATATTGCTCTTCATATAAAGTATTTAAATAAATAATATAAAATACTTTTTTTCTAAATATAAAATAAAACACACAAATAATTCCTTTTCAAATATTAACCCCTTTTATTTTTTTCGCCTGCCTATAAATAGACGCAATAAAAGTAAGTAAAAACTTCGAATTAACATCCCTAATATGTTACCAAGCTAAATAGACAGCGACATTAATTTTCCTTGCTATTGAAATCGCATACTTAGCATTATTTTTGATTTCCTCCTCATTATTTCCTTATGAAACAATATTAAAATCAACCACATCCTTCTATATAAATTCCAATAATTTAATAAAAAGTATACTATTTTTAAGACTTTTATCCCCAAATCCTTAAATTTGATATTCTTTAGGCACAATAGAATTTGCCCATTCTATTAATTTATGTTCACTAACTTCTCCATTTAACTCGAGTTGCTATTTTTTCATCAACTACCAGACTACTGCCAATATTAATTTCTAATTTCCATCTACTATATCCACTCCTCCTATATTAATTATTTAACATCCGATATCTTTAGCTATTTAAACTGAATAATTAGCATTTTAGATTTTCTGGAATTTACTATTTTTTTTCTTAAAAGACAATTTTTTCATATCCACTTTTCCGGGAAATAAAAAATCCATTAATTGACATAATAAAATGCCCTCTTTTACATCTTAAATTAAATTATTTACTTTAACCTTTTTTATTCCTAGGCTATTTATCCACATTTTAAATACTTTTTCTTATTGGCCTTCTTCTAAGTTTTTCTCTTATTCTTTTTTTAAATTTTCGGAATATTTCTTCTCTTCCTCACTTGCCAATAGACCTGAATTCTCAATAAATATGAGTCCACATAATAACATGTTAACCTTTTATTCTTTTTATGAAATTAATTCTTTATATTTTTCCATTAAATCGCTTTCCTTTGGTAATATAATCTCATAAATAGGCCCAAAATCGACTCCAAAGGACATTATAGGCTCTTTTTAGGCATTTTTTAGTCTATAATTTACCCATCTTAATATAATTTCTTCTTTATTTAATTTTTCTAAGTCTTATTCTTCTTCATCTTCCTATTTAAATCTCAAAATATACGGATAGTGTACTATATCGACATTTTAAAGTATTTATTATTTAATAATATTTCCCAAAACCTCATTTATAGCACTTTCTTCCCCATTAACAATTTCTTGTTTTTATATTTTCCCGAAAATACACCCAACAGATATTGCAGAAGAAATCCCTAAATTAATATTTTCTTAAATTGTTCTTTATTATAAATAATTTATTTCATCTTATAAAAAGTCTTTATTTTATTATAAAATTTCTATTTAATCTTTTTCTTATATTTATTCTCCATTTTCTTATGTTTTTACTACATTTTCTTATGTTTTTTCTTCATTTATGGCTCTTTCATCTATTGTTTAAGGCCATTCTTTATTAATTAAATGACATAATAGTGCTCCTTATTGGATTTTAAAGAATATATTTTCAGAATCATATTATTATTTCATCTTTTCATTAATATAAATAGTATAAGCTTTAATTTCTGGATTAGAAAGTCCATTAATTTAAAAGAAAATAAAGGAAAGTAAAATAATATTAAAAAATTAATTTTATTGTTATCTTTTCGCTATTTATATATTTAATACTTTCGGTATTTTCAAAAGGTTTAATTTTTCGAATAATAAATCGATAGAAAAAGACTGATTTTGGTATTATTTTAAAAGAGAAGGCCTTAAAATATCTAATAGAGCATATATTTATTCATAAGAGAATTTTTTTAAATCCTATTTAAATAAAAAGGAAGTAGAAAGCCATTTTTCTAGTATATTTTCTAATGGAAAATCCTCTACATTGTTTTCAGTCGTTATTTTATAAATATTGGCGTTTTTTTAGATTTTTAAAAGCAGCATTTTATATAAAAAAACTTTAAAAATTCCAAAATTTTAATTTTATTTTTTCCAAAAAATCTTCAACTTTAAATTTTTCTAATTTTTTTAAAGACAAAATTTCAAGTTCTCTACAAGCCTCTAAAAATTGCCTGAAAAATTCCGTTTTTTCACCCGAGTTTATTGACGGGTAATTTTTGTCGCTTTTTTCTATCATTTTAATTAAAATTTTACCTTCCGAAAATCTCTCGAAGAGATCAGAATTCGAAAAAGCATTAATTTTCTCCTTTAAAATATAATTAATAACCTAAGAATATACATAAATTTCATCCTACCACATTATTCCTTCCCATTTTATTATATATTTATCCCAAAATTATTATATAGAGATCTTCCTTTTATATATTTTACCTTTTTTTGTATAAATCGGGATTCATATTTAACTCTTTTTCAATAATTTAGGCTATTTTTTCATTAGGATTATCATTTATGTTTTTATATTTTTTTTTAAGTTAATGTAGATAATAAATTCATATATAAAGTATTATTAGTATCTGAAAAAGAATTTAATTACTAATGATTTCCTCTTTTTAAATGATAATTTATCCAATTTAGTAATAATGTTTTCTTATTTTATAGGTCTTTATATTATTATGTTTCTTCCTTTTATAAAATTTAAATATTTTCCTATTGAGAATCATATAAATTAACATCCTATTAATCCTCTAATTATAATAAATAAGGATTTTTCTAAAAATCAATATTTTCAAGTATTTAAGATTACAAAACCTGATAAATTTAATAAATTTTATCTTGCTTTTTTTTCAATATTTACATCTTTTATCCTTATTTTTTCGATTCCCAGAATTCTTAAGGCACAATATATAGTAATTCTCCATTATTTTCGTTTACTTATATTTCATTTTTAAAAACTTCATTAAAACATACACTTAAAGTCTATATTTCATCTTAAAAATATAATCCTCCTTAACTACAATTATATAAATTCGCACAAAAAGCAATATGGACTTTTTTATTTTTAGTCATTAAATCTTCGGCATAAACACAAACTGGACAATTCAATTATTTTTAAGAAAATTCTATTATTTCTTCTAATAATTTAATTTGTTATAATTTGTTATCTTATTATAAATCATTTTCTTATTACAAATATTAATTTTGTTATTATTATTAACAAATTTTATTCAATAATATTTTATATTAGTCTCCTTTGTTTAATTCTTCGAAATCATTAATTTAATTGCATTTAGAAAGGTGAAAATTCACCCATTTTTTCAAAAATTCTTCGCTTTTTTCTATGAAATTTTCAAAAAGTTCCTTTTTTAATTAACACCACATAAAATCAAGAATTTATTCATCACTAAAATGTTATAAATCTTCCTCTTTTTCTTAAAAAAAGGCTTCTGATGATTTTCTAATAAATCTAAAAAAACCTTCTCCATCTAGACGATCTAATAATTAAAAATCTTAAAATTTATCATTGGATTGTATTTTATTATTGATAAAATTGACAAAAACTGAAATTTCCTCTCTAGGGAATAATTAAGCCTTCCAAAATAGAACCTAACTTAAAAAAAATGAATTTAATTTTTGATTTTCCTTTAAAAAATCATCTTCTTGAATAAAAATGAAATCTTAATTTTGAAATATTTTTTGTTCCAATAATTCTTTATTTTTCCCCTAAAAATGGTCTTCTTCTTTTATCAAAATTTCCTAAAGGAAAATTGACGAATTCAAGCTAAAATCCTTATTTAAATTTTAAATAGAAATTCCTTTTTTTTATAAATGAAAATTCACAAACTTTAATAAAATATCTTCATAAATATTATTAGTTTCTAATGATTTTTCTTAGCAATTCATTAAAAATTTATTTTTTAACATTTTTCAATATCAATATATTTACTTAAAATAACCAAATTTATCAAATCAAGCATTTTATCTTTATTTTCAAACAATTCTTCTAAACTGTTATTTTTTTGTAAAAAACTTCCGATTTTTTCATCCAAATTTTCTTCTTAAATTCCCAAAATTTTCGCTAGAATTTTCCTGTCTTTAATTCTCTCAAAGAAAACTCCCTGATCTTAAATAACATTTTCCTTAAAAAAATAATTTATAAAACCTTAATAAGCCAAAACTTCTCCCAAACGAGAAAAATTACCATATTTATAAATTAAAGAAGTAAAAAGAACATGTATTTTTTCATTTTTTTTCAATAAATTTTACCCAAAACCTTCCAAAAATTTCATCTTTTCATTCATTTATTAAACTCTATATATAATTTAATCCTCTAAATTTAAATCTAAATTAATTTCGGGTCTCTTATTTTATATTTAATCAAGTATTTTCATATATAATTATATATTTTATAATTAGGAAAAGTTATTTATCTTATCTTCTTTTAAAATTTTATTAACCCATTCTTTTAATTTATCTAATTTCTATTTAAATATTAATTCTTCCTATTTATTTTCATTTTCTTCTTCTATTTTTATGTCTTTAACTAATTCATTTTATAAAATATTATATAAAAAATCAAGAAGTTCTTATTAATTATTTTCCCTTAAAATAATATTAGAATTCTTCGTTTTATTACATAATAAATTGTCTAAAACCTCATTTTTTTCACCGAAAATCTTCTCAAAAAACTCATCATCATCTAAAAAAGTCTCACTTTTATCCAAAACGACATTTATAATAGCTTTAAAAGCCTAAACTTCATCTCTATTATAAATTTTAGCCTTTTTATTGAATAATTAAGCCGCAAAAATCCAATTTAATCTTTCGTTTCCTTATTAAATATCTATTTCTTATATAAAAACTTCATTTTTTTCAAAAACTTTTTCATTTACAAAAAAAACAATTTCTTAAATTAAATTTTCTTTTGAAAAATTCGTATTTTTAAATAAAAAATTCAATAAAATTTCATATTTTTCCCCATTTTAAATATCTTCTTTAAAATTAGAAATTTTTTACATTTGTAAATTTTCCATATGAAAATTAAACCAATCTAAAATTAAACTTTCGTCTGTTTTTTAACTAATCTTTTACAAAGCCTAATTATCTTTCACAAAGGAATTATTTATTAACGAAAATTTAATAATTTCAAATAAAAAATCTACCATTTTTTCCTCATTACCTTCCTAAACATCATTAATTGTTATTTATTCTGAAATCCCGAGTTTTCGAGCCTCTAAAATAGCCAAAGAGATATTTTCTTTTTTATCTTTGCAGTCTAAAATTTCCTATTTACTAAAAAATTTAATTATATTTCTTAATAATAAGCCATCTTTTAACTTTTCTATGAAATCAGACGGATTAAATTCATCAATTATCTATTTTTGAAATAAGAAATTAATAAATTAGCTAAAGCTTCTTATTTCATTTAAAAAATAAAACGGACAAGCCTAATAAATTTAAGAAATAAAAATAAAATTAAAAATCTCATTTTATTAAATTAATTATTCAAATTAAATAATTTGATTAATTTTCATTTTTTCTAATATTTTTTAATACGATTCATATAAAAATTCCTATTTATTATTTTCCTATAATAATTAATTAAATAAACCCGAAAATTCTAAATAATTGAAATTTTCAATTTTATCTATTTTTTATCTTCCATAATGAAAATTAACCCAATTTATTAAAATTTCCATATTTTAAACTTACATTTATATATGTTTTTTTATTCCTTTTTCCCATATAAAATCTACTTTTTTATAAATTATACTTTCCTCATTTACTTACAATTGTTCTTCTTTATTTAATAAATATTCGTTTATTATTTACTCTTTATTTTCCATTAATTATTCCTTAGTAATTCTTTCTTTTTCTATTTAAAATTAATTTATATATTTCAAAAAACATCTAATTCTTCTTACCATAAATTCCCTTAACTTGCCTCATATAATTATGCGCAAAAAATAGTATTTAAATCCTCATTTTTACTAATTTAAATAGGACATATTACACTTTTTAATACCGGAAAATATTCGTGGATAATTTAAGTGATTTCTTTTTGATTTTCTATCCTATTCTCACCTCCCGAAATTCCCTTTCTTCCAGTAATTTCATCCAAAAGTTTTAAATAAACATTTCCATTTTCAAAATCAGTCGAAAAATTAGTTATTTTTTTTTCCTTTTCACTTTTTTATATATGATAATTAACCCATCTTAATAAAAGCTTTTCCTCTGGAATTTTTTAGAATTCTTCTATACTTTCTCCTTCCTTTTTTAATTTCTTTAAATAAGGGTCATTTACATATTTCTTTAGTCTTTTTAAACATTGTTTTTTTATTAATTATATAGCTTCCTTTATATTTTATTATTCATTATTCTTTTAATAATTTTATCCGACCTTTTATTCATTTAATTCTTATTATTAATTCTATCCTTCCTACTATTATTCATTATCCTTTTCTTCTTCCAAATCTTAGATTTTTTTCAAAAGCTTTCCGTTTTTAATTTCCTCACTAATCTCATCTACCCCATTAACCAATCCTTAATTAACTCCAAAACTGTTTAAAAACTCAACCAAATCTTCCAATTCTTCGTCTTGCCCATCTTCCTGTTCTCCATTTAACCCTGAACAAACGTTCAATAGATGTGCACAAAATATTAAATTCGACTTTTAATTGGCATGTAGAATATCTTAATACCTAATACAGTTCGGTACTCCTAATTTCTTTGAATACTCAATAACCTTAGCTAGCCTTTCATTTTTCTAATCTTCTTCCAACATCACTATAGGGCATTTTTTTCTATTCAATTAATTCAAAAGATACATATACTAAATTCCATCTTATAAATCATGTTCCAAATTCGCTATTTTTCTAGCAGGTTCCACATGAGAAAGATGAAAATTAAACCATCTTATAATCAGGCTTTCTTTTGGCAATTAAGAAAACGTATTTTCGTCTTCGTTTTCTCCTTTTAGTTTAAAAATATCAGGATTTTTCTTCACATCAGTAATTCCTAATAATTAAATTTTAACAATCTACCATAATAATCCCAAAATAATATGTTCGGATTTCTCCATAATACTCTAATTATGAATATTAATACATACACATCCTATTTTTTGAGCACTACTAATTGCCATGTTCAAGTTTTCGTTTATCTTAAATATATTAGGGTTCTTAGTATTTATTTTAGTCACATCTAATGCACCTGGTTGTGTAATATTTATTAATTTACATAATAAAATGCCATTTCCTACCTTTTCGAATAACTCCTCACTATTAGGATTTATTGGTAATATGCTTTTTAGGTCTTCATCATCTTTTAAATAGTGATTTATATGCTCAGAATAGGCAAATACTTCTTCTTATGTGAAATAATGTTGGATTTTTTCGTTTTTATTATTTAATTGCCTTTTTTCGTTTTTTTTAAAATCCATATATATATTTTTTTTTTTAGATCTATAAAAAAATTTTTAAAAACTATTAAATTTATATATATATTTTGGTTTATTTTTATATAAATAAATATTTATATTGGTTCATTTATTTTTGATTAAAATAAATAAAATATCTTAATTAATTATAATACAAATTAATTTAAGAAATATAGAAACTTTAGCAATATTTTTCTTTTAACAAAATAAAAATCATTTTAAGAATTTAGTTCTTAGTTAATTAAATAAGAATTAATAGTTTAGATTAAAAATATTTATTTATTGATTAAGGTCATCTTAATTATATATATTATCAAATAGCTATTTTATTTTTAGACAATATAAAGACGGATAGTAATACATTATTTCATATTTCTTATGTATTTTTTAAATCAATATAATTAAACAAAAAATATGAAGTATATATAATAAATATAAAAAATATCATTTTATTAATTTATATAATAAAACTAAAATATATTATGCATTGTAATTAATAATTTAATTATTAGTAAATTTTAAGGAAAGAAAATTAAAAAACTATTTTTTCTTTATAAATATAAATAACTTATTTTATAAAAAATAATATAAATCAATATGAAATTTTGTCCTAAAATACTTTTAATATATAAATAAAAAATTAACTTAATTAAAAGCTTTTTCAATTTATAAACATGAAAATAATATCAAAGGAAAAAAAATTATTTTATAGATTCTTCGTATTCTATAAGATAGTATTATAAATAAATAATTTTAAATAATAAAATATTTTAATATAAAAAAAGATAACTTAGATTAAATTTCTTAATTTTTATTTATATCGAAAAGTACAAAATTAAAAAGGAGTTAAATAAAAACTTAATTGTTTTTTTGTTTTTGAATAAATAAAAAAAAAACAAAAAGAATATATTATATTTTATTTATTTTCTAAATTTTTAATAAAACTGGCTAAAAAAAAAATAAAAATGAAATATAAATATAAAAAATATAAAATATATTTTATTGATTTTATTTAAATTAATAAAGAATATTATTATTAAATAAAAAAATATTATATATATATATATATATATATATATATAATATATATATATATATATAATATTTATTTTTAAAAACATTTATTTATATTCAAATAAATATTTTTTTTTAATAATTTTAATTTTAAAATATTTTTATTAATTAAAAAATAAATATCAGATATTATCTTTTTTAAAAAAAATAAAATTAAATATACTTTTACATATTTAATTTATAACAAAAAAACATAATATTTAATATTTTAAATATAATATTAGAATTTTTTTTTATTATTATTTCATTAAAATAATGATTTATTCTATTTTTCTTCTTCCAAAATTTCATATTCGTTAGATTTCATATTTAAAATATAAGCTTTATTTTCATTATTAATTTTATTATTTATTTCCATAATTCTTTTTAATAAAAGATTAAAGTGTGTAATACTTCCTGCATCAACTTATTCTACTTATGTTTAATTAATATCAAATATATTAAATATAGGTGTTTATTATTCATTCTTAATCTTTCTTTCGAAGTTTAAATGTTCATTATAATACTTTATCGATGGTGCGTAATTATTTATAAAATTCACAGTTGTTATATATAATTTACTTTAGTTTTTATGAAAAACTTAGATTTTTCCTATGTTGGGTAAATATATCTTTTTAATAAGTGTCTTTGGTAATTTTTAATATGGAACTTCTACTAATTTATTTGCAATACTCATTATTTTTGAGAAACTATTTCTTTTTTTATATAAAAATCTTATTTTTAATACTTTGTATTTATTTTTTGATAATAATAATAAAAAATCTAATTTATATATAGAATAAAAAAATAAAATTATTATAAAAAATAAATTTTTAATTTTTTGTTAAAAATAATAATAATAAAATATAAATTCTAGTTCTTAAATTTACAAAAATAAAGAATAAATAAGATTTAATAATTAAGTAATATAATAAATATAAATATATTTATTATAAATCATAATAAAAAACAAAATATATTAATATAAAATAATAAAAAAACTTTAAGCTAAAACTATGTTTAAATTATTCTTAAAACATTGAAATAAATAAAAAAATAAGTAAAAAAATAATTTAATGATAAAACATTAATATTATTAATATAAAAATTAATTAAAGTATAAAACTTTTAAAGAAAATAGAAATATATAAATTTAAATAATTAGGTAAATTAGTTTCTAAAAATTAATAAAAATATATGATCTAATAAATTTAAAATAAAAAATTAAATTATATTATAATAAAAAATTAAAAATTTTAAAAGATTAATAAAATAGTATAAAATAATAAATAAAAAAATAAAACTAAAATAATAATAAATAATAAAAAAAAGTAAATTAATATAAAAAAAATAATAATAAAATAATAATAATAATAATAATAATAATAATAATAATAATAATAATAATAATAATAAAATAATAATAAGTTTTATTATATTAATAATATTTATAATAATAATATTAATGTTTTTAAAACATTCCTTTTATTTATTTTTAGGATCATATTTATAGATATAAATTAACAAAATTAAGAATATAATCATTTTATTATAAATAATACATTTAATAAATGTCCTAAATAAAAGCATAACTGCTTAAGAAATATTAAATTTATAAAATATTATTTTAATAATTGTAATATAAATATTTACCACATTTAATTAATATTTCGTAAATAATATATTATTTTTTTTGATAAATTATTATTTTTTCTGTTAAACACTATAAAATTATTAAGCCATAACTTTTTTTTAAAAAAAATAAACATTAAAAAAAGAAAAAGATTAATATTATTTTCTAAACTTATAACTAACTAAAAATATATTAATAATCTGTTATTTTTTTCAAATGTTTTTTTGGCAATTTTGTAAAAAGATGAAAAAAGAATAATTAATTAAATATTTAACATAAATTGAGAAAATTTAGAAAATATTATCAAACTTTTTAAAAAAGCAGTAATATATAATATACTTATATAAATATTATAAACATGATATTTATATATATATTAACTTAAATATATAAATTTAAGTATTATTGTATTTACTTTTTATTAATATAAAGTTTAAATGTGAATTTATAACCAATAATAATAAAAAAAATTAATAAAATAAGATAAAATTAATAATAATATATAAATAAAAATTTATTATATATAAATATTACTATATTATAAAATTTATTTATTAATATATAAAATAGCAAAAAAATGGATTAAAATTGCCTTTATTAACACTTTCATTCCTATTAAAATAAAAGTCCATAAGATCGAAGTAACTTGTCATTTGATCATCCTAAAAAAGGCCCATATTTAGGGATAAATAATCAAATTAATAATATAAATAATAACTAAATTCAACTAAAAAATTAATCAATACAATCCTATAATAATAAAAATAACCAAATTATAAATTAAAGCTAAACTCCTTAAAATAAATAGGTTTCTCAATTATAAAAAATAAATAAAGTCCTTTAAATTTTGAAGTATAAGAAGCAAAACCTTTTAGTATTAATAAATTTATTTGTAAAAAAATGAAATATAATTTTAGATTTTATAAAAATAATAATAGTTATTATAATAAGAAAGATATTTATTAGAAAAATAATCATTATTAATAGATTAGGAGAAAAGAAATCAATAAAACTAAAATAGCATTTAACTCAAAACTGAGGTTCCTGGTAAAAATTGAAACCTTGAATAATACTTAGTAAAAAAATAACCTTAACTTATTACTGATACTGAATAATCTGAAGATATTGTTAATATTTAATCCAATATGTATAATGATAATATATAAGCTTAATAATAAATACAATTAGAATAAAGAAAATTAGATGAATTCTATAAAGATATAAATGATTAAAAGAGCTAAAATTATCAATCTCAAAATACTAAAAAATAAAAAATATTTTCGATTCCTCCTAAATAATAATTTTTTAGAATTCCCGAAAAAAATTATTAATAATTTTAAAAAAACTAAATTTAAAATAAAAAAGAATGCGGAGTATAAACTACAAATTTTTTATATTAAAAAAATTCGAATAAAATGTATTTATTTATATATAAACTAAATATTATTTTTTTATAAATAAAAAAAACCACAGTAAACCTTTCATTAAAACGATTAAAAGAATAAAACAATAATCTTACACTAGTCCTAAAAAAGTGTAGATTACTCAGAATTAAATAAGAATTTTTAAAGAATAGAAAATTAACCAACTCTAAATTATACCTAAACCAAACTTTCTACAAAATCAAATATAAATAAAGATAATGATAGAACGATATTTAATATAGAATAAATTCCCTCAAAACAAAATTTATCAAAAACAAATTAAAAAAAAGATAATATATTAAATAATGCTATTATATATGATAGTTTAGATTATAAAAATTTATCTTTTACTAAAGTATTACCAAAAAATTATTAATAACAAATAGAACATTAAAATACTAATAATATAGGTTTTTAATAAAACGATAATAAAATACAATACAAATCGAATTTTACTTTAGAATTATTCTGTGATAAATGCAAAGAATATATTGATTTAGAACAATATTAAATGCACAATTCTATATGTAGAGAATTAGAATATTTCGATTATTATGAAAAAGACAAATAAATATAGATTTTGAACTAAAAAATCATGAAAATATAATTTTGATTTAATAAAAATAGATATAAATTAATTAAGAATAGAAGGCTAATTAACAAAATACAATAGTAAATAAATAAGAAAATTCGAACCATTTAAAAAGCATAAAATTAGTTAATTATTGTAATTATTTAATTTAAAATTTAAGCAGTATTTGTAAAATAATAATAATTTGTTTGCATAAGCGAAATCTGATTTAAATATAATTATTAAAGGACTTAGATCTATAGAAGATATTTCTAATATTTATCAATATGCTTAAAGATGCTAAGAAATTTCAGATA